TGCCCACATCATGCACACCCCGGCCTGGTGCTCTCCTCGATCTCCTGGCAGTGCCCCAATCGTACCCTTTCTCCGCCATCTCCTCAAAGAGTTGATTCAGCTGTGGCGGTGTTTTGGTCAGCATGTTCCCGCCACAGACCGAATCAATTAGCTGCTTGTCCTCCGGGAAGAGGGCATGATAGAAGGTTCCCACCTTGAAAGCATCGTTGAAACCATGATTGGGACACCTAAGGAAGAGAATGTTATATCTCTCCCAAGCATCCCGGATGGTCTCATCTTCGTCCTGGGTGAAGTGGGTGATCTGCTTCTGCAAGTCAGCTGTCTTGGATGGAGGATGATAGCGGGTGAGGAACTTGTCCGCCAGGTTGGCGAACGTAGTGATGGAGCCTGGAGGTCGAGTGTCTAGCCACTCCTTGGTCCTCCAGAGTGAATGGGAAGTACCTCAGCTGGATGGCATCTGCGGGTACCCCATTGATCTTGATTCCATCAATGAGCTCGTGGAATCGCCGGAGATGTGATCGGGGCACTCCCCCTCCTTGCCACGGAACATCACCGAACCGCGCAGCATGGTGATTACTGAGGTGCTCACCTCGAAATTATTGGCTGGGACATGAGGGTGTTGAATGGGTGACCTCATGTCTGCAGCCCTAGCGGTCCAGTAATGTCCCATGGTCTGCTCCTCTGGATCGACCACAGGATGGTCCTGTGGATTAGCCATCTCCTCTTCTTCAGTGATCTGTAGCTGTGCTAGCGCCTCCTCCGCAGCCAGTCGCGCCTTTAGAGCCCGCTTGAAGTTTCTGCAGGTTCGTTCAAGCTCCTGGTCTAGTGGTAGTAGATCTCCCGACTGGCTACGGGTCATGCACTACCTGCACACAATCAGCAGAAGCAACCCGTGAAGGTACACAGGTGGAAGAGATAAAATGCAGTAAATAAAAAGCTAGAGTAACAAATTCTCACGTTTCCCCAATAACCTAGAGGGTCCCCGGCAACGGCGCCAAAAACTTGACACGCCAAAACACAACACCAATCTGCGACCAAGTGTAATCGCAGACCGGGAATGCAGTAACAGGCAAGTTATATTATCAACCCGGGGTCTAGATCTACTGCTTACTCAGTGATTCTCTATTATCTAGCCAACTAAAGTAAGTGATTGTTGTTTAAACTAAAAGCAGAAATAAAGCAGGAATTTATTCGGTTTTCTCAAGCAGGAAAGAGTCACTCGGGAATGAATCCCCCTAGCTCCTTAGTTAGGTTCAATTGCAATTTACCCTGGGTTGATTTACTGTTGATTAGACTGCGGAAGATCCGGCAGTAGCTTGGAATCTCTTAAGCTGACCAAGCCCTCTCAGTCTAACTATCCGGCAGACGACTAGTCTTCACCGGGATAGAAAGCTGAAGCAGTAAGAACAGAAATTCACTACTGGAATTAGATTCCAGTACAAAGCAGTAAACCGGCTAACTCTCGTATAGCCAATCTCCTACTATCGAATGATGAGACTCTAGCAACCTAATCAGATTCTATCTATCTCAGATTGCAGCAGGAATCAGGAAAAGTTGATCAGACTTCAATTGACTCAATAAACATGCATCATTCGATTAAAATCAAACAGTAATATCATCCCAAGTCATTACAATCAATCCCCTAACACATAGAATTAGGGTTCTTCATCCCCAAGTGAGAGAGGGGTTCTACTCCATAGAGGGAGATAAGAAAACAGTAATCGGAGTAGTCATACTCATAATGATGAGGAAAATCTGCTCCGGGATGATGATTTCCACTCCTAGGACGATCTCCAAGCTTGATTTGATGAAACCCAGCTCCAAGATGGCTTCTAGGATGTGTTCTTCGTCCTTTCTCTCTCTAAAACTCTGTTTTTGCTCAAAAAGTCCGATCCTCTCTCTTGCAGCCCGGAATTGGGTTAAAACCAGGAAATCCTGACTCACACGGCCGTGTGGCATACCCAGTTGCCCGTGTGAGTTAAAACGCTGCGTTCCACTTAGTTCGATTTTCAGGCTTCTCACACGGCCAGGTTGGCACGGCCGTGTTTGATTTCCATCTGCCCGTGTCTGCTCACAGCAAAAGTCACACGGCCAGATCACTTCGCCACACGGCCGTGTGCATTGTCAGGGCAGGCCGTGTTTGCTCTCGGCAAAACTCGCACGGCCAGAAATATGAGTTGCACGGCCGTGTGATTTGTGGGTGTGCCCGTGTGGCCTCCTTTGTGACTTGCCTCGCACCCGATCTTCGTCCAATCGACCCCAAACTCGCTCCCGAGTCTCCATTCACGTACTAGGACCTGAAATATCACAAACAAGCACAACCTAGCATGAAATCGGCCTAAAACGCGAGAAATCACATCTCAAACGGTGTAAGAACAGGGGTAAAAACATGTGTAATTAACGGTCTATCAATGCCCAGGGGTCTGATTGTTCTCCGTACTAAGGGGGTTGGTACTGGAACTCGAATCCATAATCTTCTCCTCCTTGATTGCTCCAGGGAGTCTCGGGGTAATACCACTTTGATGGTGGTGGATACCCCCAATGGTTGGAGAAGCCATGAGGATCCATGATTCAGATCTGCACCAACAAAAACAAAAACACCCAAGTGAAAAGCAAGGGTGGAAAAGAAAAGAAAAATGCTAAAATAACAAACTTCTGCCTTTCCTAATAATCTAGAAAGTCCCCGATAACGGAGCTAAAAACTTGACTCGCTATGACACAACTCCGAACAATGGCCAAGTGTAACCAATGAAAGGGACTGTAGTATAGTGGCTCAAGTAATAAACATCGAATCCACGGGTCTCTAGAGTTACTATTACTCTTCATTATCTAGCAAACCAGATTAAGATGGAAGAACTAAAACTACTCTAACAAACTACAGTTAAAGTTAATCTAATTACAGGTTGGGAACTCACTTAGGTATGATTCCCCCTAGCCATTAGCCAGATTAATGATTTATGATTTCTAACTTGTTTCATTTTCATTCACAATGCGGAGAATCCTTGACTAGACCTTGAATCTCGACTAAAGGATCAAGGCCCTCTTGAGTCGATTGCGTAGAGGGACGTATCATTCTCTAAAACAACCGATCAAGGCGTCCTGAACTAGACTCTCTCTATCGAATGAGGTTCTCAATCGAGACAAAACAGTGAATCGAACCTCGACTAAAGCAATCGATCCAATACTATCAATCTATGGTGCTCTATTGACCAAATCAGGTATTCGCTCTCATAGGATCAAAGCAGAATCAATAATCTCGACTAAAGCAGAATTGAATCATGAAAACTTGCATAGATTTAATACGAACTCAACATTATCAAGTAGGAGTACTCATACAATCATCCAATCAAACAAACATAGCTAGGGTTCCTCAAAACCTAAGTGAAGGGAAGTTACTCCATAGAGAAGAGAGAGGCTGCAGTAAGAATCTTCATATGATCAGTCTTTAAGTCCGGGCTTGTTCCTCGAGCTTCCAAGGCAAAGAAATCCTCCAATTCCACTCCAAGAATCCCCTCAAATCGCCCTCTCTCTCTTTGGTTCGTCCCTTGGGTGTTTGGGATCCAAAACCTAGCTCTCCCTTTCAAAAACGCACAAAACAGGCTTTTAACAGCCTGCATTCGCGATCCCCGATCAGAATACCCGGTCGGGTATTTTAGGTGGCCGGCCGAGGATTGTTGAAACGCACCGTCGAGGATAGGGATTGATCCCCGGTCAAGGTCAAGAATACCCAACCGGGGATTTATGCTCAATGCCCGGGCCCCCTTCTGCTTCTCAAACGCCCAAAAGTGATTTTCGCCGGTCTGCTCAGATTAATACCCGGCCGGGTATTTTTGCTCATGGTTGGGTATTTTGCTCCTCCAGCACACTTCAACTCAAATGTGCTCCTTTCGACCCAAACTCGTTTCTTCGCCTCGATGCAAACGCCAAGCCCTGAAATATGACATAAACACACAACCTAGCGTGAAATCGGCTTAAAACACGAGAATCAACATCTCAAACGGCTCAAGAATAGGGGTAAAAACATGTGCAATCAATGGTCTATCAAACTCAAAAACTTGACTCGCTATGACACAACTCCTAACAATGGAAAAGTGTAACCAATGAAAAGGACTGCAATATAGTGGCCCAAGTAATAAATATCGAATCCACGGGTCTCTAGAGTTACTATTACTCAGCTTCAGTTCATTATCTAGCAAACCAGATTAAGATGGAAGAACTAAAACTACTCTAACAAACTACAGTTAAAGTTAATCTAATTACAGGTTGGGAACTCACTTAGGTATGATTCCCCCTAGCCACTAGCCAGATTAATTATTTCTAACTTGTTTCACTTTCATTCACAATGCGGAGATTCCTTGACTAGACCTTAAATCTCGACTAAAGGATCAATGCCCTCTTGAGTCGATTGCGTAGAGGGACGTATCCTTTTCTAAAATAACCGATCAAGGCGTTCTGAACTAGACTCCCTCTATCGAATGAGGTTCTCAATCGATACAAAGTGGTGAATTGACCCTCGACTAAAGCAATCGATCCAATACTATCAATCTATGGTGCTCTATTGACCTAATCAGGTATTCGCTCTCATAGGACCAAAGCAGAATCAATAATCTCGACTAAAGCATAATTGAATCATGGAAACTAGCATAGATTAAATATGAACTCAAGATTATCAAGTAGGATTACTCATACAATCATCCAATCAAACAAACATAGCTAGGGTTCCTCAAAACCTAAGTGAAGGGAAGTTACTCCATAGAGAAGAGAGAGACTGCAGTAAGAATCTTCAGATGATCAGTCTTCAAGTCCGGGCTTTTTCCTCGAGCTTCGAAGGCGAAGAAATTCTCCAATTATACTCCAAGAATGCTCTCAAATCGCCCTCTCTCTCTCTCTCTCTCTCTCTCTCTCTCTTTGGTTCATCCCTTGGGTGTTTGGGATCCAAAACCCAGCTCTCCCTTTCAAAAATGCACAAAACAGGCTTTTAATAGCCTGCGTTCGCGATCCCCGGTCAGAATACCTGGTCGGGTATTTAAGGTGGTCGGTCGGGGATTGTTGAAGTGCACCGTCGAGGACAGGGGATTAATCCCCGGTCAAGGTCAAGAATACCCGATCGGGGATTTATGCTCAATGCCCGGGCCCCCTTCTGCTTCTCAAACGCCCAAAAGTAATTTTCCCCGGTCTGCTCAGATTAATACCCGGCCGGGTATTTTTAATCATGGCCGGGTATTTTGCTCCTACAGCACACTTCAACTCAAACGTGCTCCTTTCGACCCGAAACTCGTTTCTTCGCCTCGATGCCAACGCCAAGCCCTGGAATATGACATAAACACACAACCTACCGTGAAATCGGCTTAAAACACGAGAATCAATATCTCAAACGGCTCAAAAATAGGGGTAAAAACATGTGCAATCAATGGTTTATCAACCAACATGCAATTTGGTGATTAATTTAGAGGAATGAGATTGGAATAGATTGAATGGTTAACTCCCTGATGAGATCTTGTCTCTCCTTGAAGGTACTGAAACTCCAAAGATAGATCCGAGAGAATACACGACAGTTTGGAGAATTGAACATATGGACGTTTTCGAATGAGATTAGCATACAACCTGGCGACAAATGAGCTGGACATATCTCAAAATGGGACTGAAAGTAGTTATGGAAATGGAAGGCTCAAATTAGGATCAAACACTTCTTATGGCTAGCTATGCATGAACCAGTGCTCACAAACCAAGAGAAACTTTGAAAAAGCTAACAAGTGATGGCAACTTCAAGCACTAAAATGGCTGAGGAGACAACTGAACACATTCTTCTACATTGTAGGAGAATGAAGGAGCGTGAATGCTTCTTAAACATTATGGGAGAATGCTTTTTCCATTAACATCGGTGCATGTTCAATTACCATAGCGGAACTGAAAGTAACTGAAGTGGGATTAACCACAATGTGGAGCGCAGATACAAAAGAGTTTGCCTCTGTATTGACCAACAACAACTATTAGAATAAGCCAAAACATACATGACATCGATCATAGACATGGGATATCAATTCGGGAAATCAACCAACTTCTATCTGTTAATTGACAAGTCTCTATATCCCGCACTTATAGGGAATGTAATTTCGTAGCTGATGTCCTTACTAACAAATGACACAAACTTCATTTTTTCATTCATCTTATCGATGTGTGTGATCTATAATTGAACTACTGGACTATTTATGATGTAATGGTTATATTCCTAAAACGTGTGATCATTAATACGAGATAAGATACCCTTAGATGTCAGTCTTTTACAACAACAACAACAACAAAAAACCCAACGATGCAGTTCGTAGAGACGGGCAATATTGAATTAGGGTTATGGTTTAAATTCCTATTGGGCCTGATTCTAATTGATCCGAGCTTTTGCTTGGGCTTTTCTCTAAGCTCGATTTCATTTGAGACCAACAATATTTTAAAAGGCCCTGATTGGGAAACGAGTTTTAGCGCCCTGATGATCTGTGTTGGATAATGGATACTATCTGCTCCGTCAGGACAGTGCTGTAGCAGAAGAAATTGGCTACGATGAACCCCAAAAACCCTAGAAAATGGCGGTTCACATGGGAAGCTCAATCTCACGCCCCGAACCTAAAGCTGTTCGTCTTCGATGCGCATTCCAGACCTTCTAAAGATTGCCATAATCTCTCCGTGAATCTGAAGCTCTCACAGTCCCACGTTCTTGTGAGCTGGACGGAGGAGGACGGCGGCGGGAATGTCTCACTGAAGATTCCGATTCCCAAGGTCCTGATCGACCCCGAGGTTCCTGTTAGCTTCAGAGCTTTGCACGACCACATTGAAGTTAAAGTGGTGCTTCTCCTTCCAGTTGATCATCCCATTGTATCGAGCTTTGATTCCGTGCTTAATTTGAGCGACGATGGTGGAGTTATGGATGGAATAAACCCCCTCGTTATGAATTCTGGTAACCCTTTCAAAACCATTATATCTGCGTTTGGTTTAATGCTTATTGTGTGGTTTCTTTTTCCTTCTTTTGCTTGGGAATACCGAGACTCTCTAGTCATTTGTTCTTTGCCATTGTTGTTTGGTTCAGACTTGAAGAGTTTGTCATCAACCCAAGGAGCAAACTTTTACTGCAGACGGTGCTCTGCAAAATTGACGAAAAAAGCCATTAGGTGAAAACTCGAAACATTCTCTAGTTCATTTGTTGCCCTTCTGTCCTGTGACAGCACTCCGGCAACATTTTAGAATCTTGTTTATTCCTCTGACTTTGAGTCTTCCTTAGGAATTTCGAGGAAATGCCATCAGTTAATTGGAGAGAAGTTGCTGATAACTGGTTTGGAGGCTGTTGCTGTTCATATGGAGGTGCAGGTGAGGTGTTGGTGAATAGCTTTGCTGATGGCTATGGTTGCAGAAAAGGTGTGGGTTTGTTGAGCTCTCCCGCTGTTATTCTGTGCATGGATGATATCCTGGGGTGTGAGCCAAGGCATCAACCTTTAGATAGGGGTGGTGGCTTGAGTAGAGAGCTGGATGATAATGGAACTGATCATGCAAGTGTGGATGAGAATCAAAGTGAACTGGTGGGGGATTCTCCAACACTCTCTAGAGATGATCAGTTATCTGGTGGATCAACTACTAGGAATATGTCGGAAAGTGCGACTTGCTGTGATTCAAAATGCCATGGGCATGAGGGGCTTGAACCTTCCAAAGTGGACGTTGAAGCTACAAGAGCAACAAAGTTCACAGAAGATCAGAAGTCATTCTTGAATGGTTTTCTTGGAGATGCTTTCATGGTTAGATCCTACAGCCGTTCTGTGGATATAGAGTGGAAAGAATTCTTTTGCCCTCAGTGTTCATCTCTTCTTGGAGCCTATCCCAGCACTACTAGTGGGCATATCCCTATAGATAACGGTATCCGGCTCTTCAAGTGTTACATCTCTAGTTGCTTGCCGGTTTGTGCGCCAAGTGACATTTTCAGGTTGGTAACAGTTTGCTAGACTTGTTTACTGAGTAATTATTTATACTTCTAATTTATAAAAGGAAGCTTTGATGAAATCACTTAACATTAGCTGTTGGTTTAGATGGTCAAAGCATGATAAAGACTCGAGATCCTAATAAAAGAGCCAGAAATTCTTGGAGGTTGTTTGGATGATGGAATTTGACGAGGCAATTTAACCCAATTGCCTCGTTTAACAACATAAAATGAATATGCAGAGGTTGGGCCGATGCAATTTAATTTGCCTCGTTCGGCATCAGTTTGAATTCACAGGGGAGGGCCAAATTGCCTCATCCCATAAATCCACCATCCTAGGGACCCTTTAGATGAAATAAATAAATAAATAAAAGAAGCTCTACTGCTAGCCCTTCGTTTCTATTTCCTTCTGTCAGCAGACTAGTTAGCTATTATCTTTTGTTTATACTTCGAATCTGTTTAGGGAAGAATCATGTGGGCTCTTTTGCTTAAGAGCATGGATTAAATGGTGTGAGATGTGTTGTTTGCCTGACTTAAGTTCTTCCTTGTGATTGACAGGAGGTATACATTGGAAAAGATGTTCACGAATATGCTAGTCGAAAATGCGAAAGATGAATTATCATATAGGACTGTTGTAAGGGATTTGGCCACCAGATCCCCGATGCTGCAAGTTGTTTTGTTAAATCTGAATTCATGGTGCTGCACTGGCATTTGCTGGGATGATCGAAGCCCTGTGGAACCAGTTTTAAAGTTGAATCTAAAACCCATTATCAAAGTCCTGTTTTCCAGTTCTATCAAAACTACTGAATCTTCTGTAAGGTTAGTCCGCATCTTCAGCTTCTTTATTTGCATGTCTACTGGCGTAAGATATAAAAGGAAGAAAATAATCTTCTATTATTTTACAGTGGTTAGTTATGTTTTTATACCAAATTGGCAGTGTACTTGTTGCTAAGTCTCTGGTTTTTAGAATTCCATAACGAATTAGCAATAAACCATCACTTCTCTATTTGTTGGGACATGCCTTTTGAGAGAGCTGTTCATTGGTGGTCAATGGCAGGTTGCTCGAAGATTGGATGGTCAAGCATGCAGCAGAAGAAGCTTTTGTCATACAACCTCTAATTCACGAGCTTGTGGAAACCATGGAATCTTCCAAGCATAATCTTCCATCTTCTCCCATCCAAGTTGAAAATATGTCCTTGGCAACCCTCTTAAGATAGCCCTGCGCCTCTCCAGTTTTCCTGGACGATGTTCAGTTCCATTAATTGTAGTTGTAGCTTAAGGATCAAATCCTTGAGGATAGACTGTAGAGAATGTATTTGCAATAGCATGAAACTGGCCGGAGAAATGGTGCAGTTGTTTCGCAGTGTCAATACAACAGAGAAGATTGGAAAGATGGGGGAAAAGAACTTCTGAACTATAGTTCACTTTCTGTATTACAGCATCTGAAATGCTAGAGTGTTCAACACGTCAATAACAGAGTTAAATTGAAGGATCTTTCAACTTTGTTCATTTCCCTACTAGTTCTGAACTAAACACGATTTCTGAATCTCTCACAATAATTTCTTATCATCCTGTTCTGCAACTTCTTCCTCTGTCGACTTAGTTACTTCTTGTTTGATTACCACTTCTTCCTTTGTGAACAACTTGCTGTTCTCACTCTCGCTCTCTTTTGTCTTCATGAACTCAACAAGGCTTTCCAAGGCAACTTCGGGCTTATCAGATTTCATCAGCTGCTGAGCGACCTCTGCCGGAGTTGTCGGAATCTTCTGCATCAGATCTTCGACGCACTCGTAAAGTGAGTGCTCTTGAATCCCCAGATACCTGGCTGCCAGCACTCTGAATGCTGCGGGAGTACAGTGTCCCATGTAGAGATGCACGTCCATTCTTCCAGGGCGCAACATAGCTGGATCGAGCTTCTCCTTGTGGTTCGTCGTGAAGATTATGATCCTCTCATCTCCACAAGTCGACCACAACCCATCAATGAAATTCAGCAAACCAGACAGCGTGACCTGTCATTTGATACTATTATCAGCTAGAGGCAAAAAAAAAAAAAAAAACAATGGAAGGAGAGAAATCAGAAAAAGAGTTTTTGGTCTTACCCCAGGGTCGTCGAAAGGAAGCCTGTCCTTGGTCTCATCATCACTTTCATCAGGATTCTCCTTGTCATCCCGAGTAGCTCGAGGCTTGGTTGACTTGGAGCTGCAGTCAACGTCCTCGATCAGAAGAATGGAGCGGTTGGTGGTGGCAGTAAGCACCCGCCGCAGCTCCGAGTCATTTTTAACGCTCTGAAGCTGAAGATCATAGATGTGGAACCTGAGATAGTTAGCAATGGCGGCAACCAGGGTCGATTTCCCGGTCCCCGGAGGCCCGTACAACAGGTACCCTCTCTTCCAAGCTCTGCCGACGCTCTGGAAATACTCTTTCCTCTGGATGAACGTATCCAGGTCGTCGATGATCCGCCGCTTGGCTTCAGGCTCCATAGCCAGAGTGTCGAAGGTTGCAGGGTGCTTGAAAACGGTGGATTCCCAGCTGGAGCCGTCGTTGTCGTAGGTGTGGATGTTGAGAACCTCCCTGTGGTTGAAGATCTTCTGAGCTTCTCTGCAAATGTGAGGGAGGTAAGTCTCCATGACCCTGTCTTTGTCCTTTTTACTGCATCTCAGCTCGTACCAGTGGCTGTGGCGTGGGTAGAACTTCTTGGTCTCTTTCTCGTGGAGGGTCCACTCGAGCTTCATGCCCTGGAAGTGGTCGAAAACTTTGGCCTCGACGGGGATCCCGGACTGCGGCGGCGCGGCGGTGTTGTTGGTGTCGTTGTGGCCGAGAAGGAGGCGGTTGGTGGCCGGGCCGGCTCTGGTGGGGAGGTAGGCTTGGACGGCGCGGAAGGTCTCGTTGGTGACGGCGTGCCACCGGTCCTCTATGACGAAGGTGAAGCTGGTGGAGAAATGGGTGGAGACCAGGTCGGAGAATTTGGCGGCGATGAAGTGGCGGACGGGGCGGGGGAGGGCTTCGTTGAGGATGGTGCGGATGATCATGGCGAGGGCGGAGAAGGAGGCGTAGAAGGAGAGGAGGGAGGAAATTGAGGGGAGCTTGAGGTCTCCGGCGAACATAGACGCCATTTTGGAAAGCTCGGTGGACGGTGGGTTTTGGGGGTTTGCTTTGATTTAGAGGTGGATGAAGGTCACATATATAAAGAAAGCACCATGGTTGGGGTAGGGCCGTAGGGGTGATAGAGAAAATGGTGTGTTGCTTGGCCGTCAAGAAGTTTGACTAAACCAAATGGGCAAAATGAAAAGAAAGATGGGTTAATTAGTAATAGGATTAATACCTAGTTTGGTCCGAAGTATAGCGTTAGTGACATTTCTGGCTCCAGTTTTTAAATAAGGCATCTCTGGCCCACTTTTGAAATTATCGGACAAATTTGGCCTGTGGAACGGGTTGACTGTCAGATTTGACGGTCAACAATTTTCTCCGTTGCCCACTTTTGAAATTATCGGATAAAATTGTTGACCGTCAAATCTGACAGTCAACCCGTCCCACATGCCAAGTTTGTCCGATAATTTAAAAAGTGGGCCAGAAATGTCTTATTTGAAAAATGGGACCAGAACTGTCACTAACGCTATACTTCGTGCCAAACAAGGGTATTAACCCTTAGTAATAATTAGGGTTATAGGTATAATATGTCCCTCTATTATGTCATTTTATCAAACATATCTTTCTACTATTTTTTACATCAAACATGTCCTTGTACTTAGAAAAAATTATCAAACATGCTTTTTTGTTAAAAGTTTCACCCAAAAATCGTTAACCACGACCAAACTTTGATTAGGACGGCACAAATGTCTAAAATATCCCCAATAATTTCACTTTAGAATTTTTTTGGTTCTTTTGTATAGCCAAATAATCCTAATAATTTCACTTTGACGAGACCCAGAGAAATAAAACACGAGACAAAACTGATATTTTCCCTCCCATTTGTCGATATCGGATCGTCCAAATCTCGGTTCAACCATGATTGGTGATCTTTTCAATGAAAATTTTAACAAAATGGCATGTTTGATAATTTTTCCAAAGTATAGGGGCATGTTTGATGTAAAAAATAGTTGAGCGGCATGTTTGATAAAACGACATAATAAAGGGGCATATTATACTTGTAACCCTAATAGAGTAATAGTTATTGAGCTCCGTTTGTTTGACAAATGGTATGGTCTAAACGGTCGCACAATTAGTTTTTGATAATTCATATTGATTTTAATAAAATATGTAAGGAAGTAGAAAATCATTAACACCAAATTAATTTAATCATATATATAATATATTTGAAGACAATCTCTTTAAAAATTGCATTCATATTTAAATAAAATATATTTCATAATAAATGTAAACTTCTCATATTTAAATACATCGTTTAATACAAATATTCAAAACTTGATACTTGAAACCAACAAATAACATCAATATTTAAACTTTTGAAATTCAAGACACAAATTTAAAAAAAATGAATTTTTTAAAACTTACATTCACTAAAATAACATAATTATTTTTATAATTCGAAAATCGATCATACCAGAAGCATTCTAGCAAGTTTTGTAGCCGATCTCGATTGAAGTTTGCCCTATCAACCAACTAGCTTATAACCCGGCCCTTTGGCCGGAATGCTCATATTTGATTATTTGTATTTTTATGTTACTTTTAAGTCTACTAACCCGTTTAATCTTATTGATAATTATTCGATCGAGTTGATACATAAAGAAATAATATATAGGTCGAACATTCGGAGAAATATCATAATTATTTAAGAATATAAAATATAAAAATGTATCATTGACCCCATTTTCATAATGCTAATTAAGTCCCTGTTAAAATGCTATTGGTTAGTTGTCTTTGACAGTCAAGAAATATAGAGTATAAAAGCTCACTGAAATTCTCACACAACCCATAGATAGTTTGAAACTAAATCTTAAACCTCACAATCCTATATAAAGGGTTCAATGCTCTCCTTTTAGAAACAATATGTCACTAATCAAAAAGAAATGGAGAGTTGTTGATTCAAGTCATCTATATACTAAAAACTCAGCTAAGAGGGGACCATCACAACTTGAGAGCAAACGAAAAAATCAGGGTTATCTCCAATATACGAATAGACTCGATCAAAGTAATAAGACGCAAAATTAGACACTCCTTATCTATTAGTTCCAGTAGGTTGAATAAAGAAGCGACCTATTTCAAACAATCAATCAATGATTCCTCGTTTTAAGATAGAAATAGGTTATGACAGTTCCAAAAACCATAAACCTAAAGATCCAATAGCCACCACTCTCCGTTGTACAACCAAATTTCTATCTCAAGAGGCATATATTCAACCAAAAATTCAATTTCTAATCTTCCTTCTACAACTTCAGTTATTGATGAACTCCATTCTATTCGCCATGAATTGATGTCGCAGTTGAAATCTTCTACTCGCCCAGCTTAAAATCCCCAACAATAAAACCGTAGTGCCAAGAGATACCTGAAGATTGATTTTCAATGACAGTCTTGTACTGGGAAGTGAAAGGAGCAAACTATTGCACGATGGATGAAATTTCGGAGGAAGTTAGAAAGAGAAAAGAACAAAGATAAAAAAACACAAAATTTAAATTTAAATTGAAAAATGCAAGGATACAACAATAGTTACATAATCAATTTCTTCCATGTTGGCCAATTACCCATTTACCTTTAGAAAAAATTAAGGAGAGAGCGGGAATTTAAATTTGAGAGAATTACATGAAACTCTACTATGAAAATAGAAGTATCAAGCTCGATAAAAATACATACGGTAGACTTAGTGAGCTTGCTAATTATGATGAAAAAGTTCTATGATTTTCAAAGATTGACTTTGTCTATTTTTTGTATAAAAAATGATGCAATAAATTTGCTTAGTGTAACTGGTTGTGATTGTTATCTTTGTTTGAAGAGACCTGGGTTCAAATCTTGATATTGTTATTTTTATATGAAATAAATAATAAATGTGCAAAGACAAAAATGACCTTCCTACTTTCACTCTCGTTGCAGGAAATTTGAAATGGAGAAAAGTACACAAAACTCTGCCATATATTAATGGAGGATATGCCACCGACATCACGAAGCAGCGAACCCTAGACTAGGCTAGGCTAGGCCTGGGGGTGGAGATGACATCATTGGTATGACGAAAGGAAAAGGGATTCATCCGATCGAGGCCGAGCAGAGCAGAAATGCATTTTCTATGAAAGTTCAGTTTGCTGGAAATAGGAAAGCGTCTCGAAGAAGCCATAAAGAGATGAAAGAAAGAAAGAAAATGGGAAAGGCGTGGGTGGGTCGGGTCTGCTACAGAACAGTACCACATACCACTCCCGGCTGAAGGATACGAAAATGACAAAGGGAAAGTAAGTAAGGTAAGGTGAACTCATGGGAGTATTGTGCTCGGTGAGACCAGAAGATCGTCGTTGGTCCGATTGGCATGTTGATGGGAACAAATATCATGCGAGATTCATGTTTATGAATTCTGTAATTTTGATTATTAGGTAATTTCGTGACAATGTAAATCATATTTTTCGTATTAACTCTGTCATAAACCAGTTGGTCCCAATAACTCTACGACTAGAATTATGGTATTAGTAGGGGTGGCAGAATGGTTTCCGGTTAGCAGTTAACCGGACGGTTTCAACCGAACCGACCGATTTTTGGCTAACCGAAAAACCGTTTCTGCATGTATCGGTCGGTTGGCGGTAGAGATGGAAGGAGGTTCGGCTAGCCGACTAACCGGGGTCGGAAACCGGCGGTTAACCGGCTAGCCGACTAACCGGGGTCGGAAACCGGCCCCTTCCCTTTCCCGACACCGCTTCAATCCTCCTCCTTCCTAACCCTAAGTCGACTCCCTCCTCCTCTCAAATCATTCAACTTCCGCCGCTCAGCATTATTTTGGACGAACAACTGGTCCAAGTTGGAGAGCCACTGAGCCACAGGCGGTGGGGCGATGAAGGAGTCCCTGAGCCAGGCCCTCGTCGCCTTCTTCCCGGCGGCGGGGAGATTGGCCCGAGATTAATCCGGCAGATTCGAAATCGACTGTGGTGGCCAAGGCGTCCTTTACTTCTTTTCATGGAGGCCGAAATCGGACCAACTGGTGGAGACACTAGCGGCGGCGTTCAAGTCCCCGCCGTCGTCGGTGGCGGTGGGGTCAGGAGGGAGCGGTGAGGTGTCGGAGAGCGTAGGAGCGTCGAGGAGGTCAAGCCGGAGGATGACGGGGGCGTCGCCGGCAAGAACATGCATATCCGCAAGTCCCGAACCCGAAGTGCGCAGATGAAGTTCGAAGAAGGTGAGAGGAAGAATTGGATGGGTGAGAGGAAGAGGGTGAGAGGAAGAGAAGTGGTCTGGTCTCTGGTGGAGGAAGGAAAAGGAGAGAGGAGCCGAGGAGATAAGGTTAGAAAAGGAGTGGTCCGGAATTTTTGTTTTCTTATTTTTATATATTTTTTTTTTTTATAGAAAAGGTAGTTTTTCGGTTGGCTGGCTAACCGAGCCTAAAACCGAAACCGACCGGTCAGTTGGCCAGCTAACCGTGACCTATCTCTCGATCGGTGGTCGGCATCTTTTGGTGATGGCTCGGTTTAACTGATAACCGAGTTTTCGGTTTTCGATTAAACCGAACAACCGACCGACCGACCGACTGCCACCCCTAAGTATTAGCGATTGAACAAGTTGGTTTAATTTATTTACATGTGTGTGCAAAGGCAGGGACGAGGGCTTTTATTGAAGGTGGTAGAGTAATGAGAAAGTGACGATGAAGTGGACATCCTTTTTCTGATGTTAGGAAGCTCGGGAGAAGAAACGATAGGGGGAAGAGTCAATTTTAGCTGTGGGAACAAAAGATGACGTGCTGCTGAATCGACCGGACCGACCACTTACGCAAGAAAACAGAGGAGCTCAAGGACTCGTGTTGGAAGTTATCGGTAAAGAAGAGAGTTGTGGTGAAGTTAGGGGCAAGCACTTTTTTTTTGTTACATGTTAATATTAATTTCAATCAATAAAAGATATTTTATTTTGATAATTATTATATTTTAAGAGGTTGACCACAATTTCGAAAGAGAAAGAAATAGGCATGTTTGTTATTATAAAAAAATTATGGGGCACACGTGTGTAAATCTATTTTAAATTTTTAAAAAGTCTAGATACCAAAATGCAAATATAAAATGTTTGGTCCTCAAAATAATTTTTCATCAATATTTTTTAGGATGACATTGTAGTGAGGAGGTCGAGATGTCTTTGAGGTTGAAGTTCTCTTTGATTTTTAAAAAATAAAAAAGGAGACACAATGCATAAAACGAAATCTACGATATCGGCGAATGTAGGAAGCAAGAGAACGAGGCGTTGCAAAGGACACCTGACTGTAAATTCGATCATCACAACATATGAGTTTGTTTGATCTTTGTCAGGTTTATTCCTACCCAATGTCGTGGTAAATGACAAGTAGTAGGGAACGAATTTAGAACCCTACAGATGTCTCCTTTGAGGAAGTCAATATAGTTTGATCGATTGAGGAACGATCGTGAGGGACTGTCGTGTCCAGTCATCCACTAACGACGTCGGGTTTGAGGAAATTACCTTTCAAGTCAGTCCTCATGTTACGCACGCAATCAAATCAACAATAAACCATATGAAAAAAGATAAAGAAAAAGAAAAGTACATAAGGTTCTCCTAGCTACACAACTAAGCAAACTAGACAGTTGTGGCTCGTGGGATGAGTACCAAGGGGTAGGGATGGCAACAAAACCCGAACCCACGGGTACCCACCCGACCCAACCCGGTCAACGTGGGTAAAACCCGTGTTTACGGGTTTTGGGCCGGGTTCGGGTTTAAATCCGCTACACTATTCACCGGGTCGGGTTGGGTTTGGGTTTGGTAAACCCGCCCCATGGGTACCCGCCCACACACATATAATTACTTTCTCGGTATATTTAATATTCTAAATAATATATATTCCTTAAACAACTAATATCTATATGTTTGTGGAGACATGTATAATTTGTTCTTTCTAATTGTTTAGAATGAAGTTGATATTATGAAGTGGAGAGTGAAGAAACTTAGTTGACGAGAAAGAAGCTTTCAATTAATCTTATTGTTTATATATGTTTATCTTTAATTTTAAAAATTTGTATTGATCATTTGCGCTTTGCTTGTATGCTCTAGATTGGTGTTTTTTGTATGATTAATTTGTATGAGAAAATTGATGTTAAACTTTTATTTTGAAAGAAACTTGTTATTGTAAATTTTTACCACAAAAACCCACGGGTACCCATGAACCCGCGGATACCCAGCGGGTTGGATTGGGTTTGAGTTTTTCAAACCCAACGGGTTTTACCCCGGGTTTTTTTGGCGAACAAACCCATGGGTTTGGGTTTGACAAAACCCGACCCAACCCGACCCATTGCCATCCCTACCAAGGGGTACATCATTCGAAAAAAAAATCCCTAAGACTCTCTAAATTGGCGGCCAGACCAGAAAAATCAGGGACTAGGCTGTCGATTTTTGCGTTAATCTACCCTTCGTAGTCGGTTTTGCTCTATGTCAGGTGAATCACTTTGTCGTCAGAGTAATGATGCTCTAATGCCTCCTCTCACTAGCTCTCAAACTCCTACTCCCTAGAAGTCAATAAAATATATTTTCTATTAGGGTTTCTAGGTAGACAGGTTGGCCTTCGATGCTTATTGGAGTCCTAACAAATCTCTTCAGCTTAGCCACCACGAAAATAATATTTTGGAAGAATCTTGTCTTTTCTATAAGATCGCCAAAAGGGTGGTCGGAGCGTCGTTTTGGATTTTGGGTTGCTATATCTGGCATCGTTTTCTGACTTCTCTTCATTCTCGATTCTGGCTCCTATTGATTGAGTCTTGATGTCCCCCAACACATACAAAGTGGTCCACTAGGATGTTATGCCTTGAAAACACATGAATCACTACCAAGAGTGCGTAAAAATAATAAGAGCAAGTCTAGAGCTACTAAAACACATATTGAGTAATCATGAAGCAAATTCAAGATATTGTGATGTTAAATATATGAAAACTATGAAGTTTTGGTCATAATATGAGGGTCTAAAAGAGTACTATTAGACCTCTAAAATGACACGTGACTTTTGATCATAGGTAGTGGATCATAAACAAGTTATGTTCAATCCTCGCACTTAGAGAAACAGACCACATGAATGAGGTGCATATCTGTAAGGAAAATCTGGCTTATCTCTATCGATCATAAAGTCTTATCTCAACTCGAGAGTCTCATGAATAACTGGGGCAAAGCTCTTAGTAGCTTTATTTAGACATTTAAGAACATATATACCTTTTTGACAATTGATAGTTCTTGATGTACACTCTTTTATACGTAGCATGCCGATTTTGTACTTTTTGTAGCGCAAGTGCATTTATACATTACATTGATCAATCAAGAGCAATTTTACACCTTACCACTCGCGTAAGGGCTTTATTTAAATCCTTTCCCTCCATCTGTGTAAGAGCAGAAGACTTGTTTGGATGAGTATAACGACTCACAAAGGATAGTGATAAGCATTGTATCCAAAATTTTTGAATGGTCTTGCATCACATGATGATAACATTCTTCATACCCAATACACTAGCCTCCCTATATAACATATCAGTGCATAGACTAGCAATATAAAATAAGATGAGCTTTCGAATTGCTTTGGAGAGTGTAACATTATTTCAAAAAAATTTGAAAATTTTATGACAACATCCTTCATACCTCAAGGGGAAAATGCGAAAGGTACTTATCGCTCATTAGTTCGGGTAAATGTCTCGATGGATCTAACGAAATAAGAAATCGACAGTGTCAGAACAGAAACGTGCAATCGATAATCCAAACCAACACGAACGAACACAAATTTAACGTGGTTCACTAACACAATTTGTGCTAGCTAATCCACGGGTAGGGGAGAACAAATTTCACTAATTTGAGGAGAGTACAGGTTACAAACCAAATTCCGGAACGGACAAATCAAACAAACTAACCTGACCGACCTTACTACAGACTAGGGTGATGAAGAGTATTTATAGAAATCTTCTCCTAATCCCAACAGAAAACCAAACACATTTTCCAAATCTACAAGGAAAAGGCCTAAACAAAGCCCAAACACAAACCCAAACAAAAATAGGCCAAAAAACACAAAACAAACCCGAATAAAATTCAAGTCATATTCTAACAATCTCCACCTTGACTTGAATTCTCTCTCAAATACCATATGTACCAGACGCAACCAAAATTGCCAGATGTACCAAACTCCTCCAAATCAACTGTACCAGAATCTCCCTTGTCTCCAAATGCCCCTAAGGGCGGTCAACAACTCAAACCATTCGGCAAGTCCAATCCATATTGAGATTTGTCATTCAAAACCAACTTGGTGCACTTATCACCAACAAAACATGTCAAAACAGAACCTTGTAGTCCATACAAGGCACCAACCTTGTCACATTTCAAAATCACCTTAGAACCTTTGTAGACAGTCAACACTGCACCTTCACCTTTGAAACTGAAACCCTTGTTGTCTAGTAGACTCAAAGATATCAGATTCTTAATCATCTCTGAGATATGCCTAACATTGTTCAAGGTGCGAACAGAACCATCATGTGTCCTCATCCGGACGGAGCCTCTTCCAACAATCTTACAGATAGCACCATTGGCCATAGAAACATGTCCTCCATCTACTTGCTCATAAGTTGAAAAACACTCCCTGCTTGGACACATATGATAATCAGTTGCAGTATCTAAATACCACACATCCCGATGATGTACCTGTTCATTCACTGCTAGCGTTAAACCATCTTCAGAATCAGAGTTAGTTTCTTCCGCCACAACAGCAGATGATTCCTTCTTCTCCTGATATTCCTTTAGCTTAGGACAATCAAATTTCCAATGCCCTTTCTCTTTACAGTAATGACAGATATCATCCTTCAAACCAACATAATTCGAATTTATATTCGCCTTCCTACTACCAGATTGTTGTCTTCTACTACTCGTAGCAGCCAACCCAGATGCCTGATTTTCCGAACCAGAACCAGGCGCCTTATGTTGAACTTCTCTAGTATGTAGAGCAGATCTAACATCTTCCAAAGACAAACTATCTTTCCCAACAATAAAAGAATCCACAAAATGCTCATATGACTGTGACAAAGATACTAACAGAATTAAGGCAGCATCCTCATCATCTACTTTAACATCAATAAAAGAATCCTCCATACGCAAACTGAACAAATGTTACTTCATATGCAACTTGTTGGTTAAAGACTTTGTCATGTATATACTTTCAAACTTCAACCACAAGCCCGCAATAGTCTTCTCAACAGCAACCTCAGTGATGATGTCATCAGACAAACAAAGCAAGATTGTAGAGTGAGCTTTTTCCTCCAAAGTACTCCACTCTTCTTCATCTATGTTTTTCTTCTTCGAGTTTTCAGACAACTGAGCCCACAAACCTTGTTGTTTCAACAATGCTTGCATCTTAATCTGCCACAAACTGAAACTATTTCTCCCAGTAAAGTTATCAATCTTCATACTGATAGCAGCCATCCTTACTATCAAACAAAACTCCAACCAAATTCAACAGCCAAATAATTTCAACTCAAACAACTGGGCTCGCGGTGGAAGTTTGCAACCCACTTCCCAAATTCCTAATCAGAAACAAATTACACCCTGCTACTCCGTACACAATTAGCGGCAAGCAATTGTAATAATAATTACAATGATGGGCGAACTTCAAATCAACTACCCAAATTCAATTTGCCTACACCAATAGCGAATTCCTCCTTACAGCGTTGGCAATTATTATTGATGAATTAATTATCCAACCCTAGCAATTAGAGGGCAAACTCTTATGCGGTGCCACCCACAAAAAATTCAAACACCAAATTCCTCCGGAAGTAGTTCGAGGCGAGAACTAGCAGCGGAATGGGATATTTCTCGTACTGTCGACACCGGGGCGGAAATAACAGACGAAGACAAACCCAAATCTAACTCTGATCCGAATTTGTGCACAATTCCCCAGAAATTTCAACCAGGCTCTGATACCACTTATTAGAACAGAAACGTGTAATCGATAATCCAAACCAACACGAACGAACACAAATTTAACGTGGTTCACTAACACAATTTGTGCTAGCTAATCAACAGGCAGAGGAGAACAAATTTCACTAATTTGAGGAGAGTACAGGTTACAAACCAAATTCCAGAACGGACAAACCAAACAAACTAACCCGACTAACCATACTACAGACTAGGGTGATGAAGAGTATTTATAGAACTTTCTCCTAATCCCAAACAGAAAACCAAACACATTTTTCAAACCTACAAGGAAAAGGGCTAAACAAAGCTCAAACACAAACCCAAACAAAAATAGGCCCCAAAACACAAAACAAACTCAAATCAAATTCAAGTCATATTCTAACATGCAGCTTGTATGCCACCGACCATCGAGGGACGCAAGGTTAGGAGACCTAGAGGGAGCTCCATATGCAACTTCTTCTTTCTCTGATTTCTCACTCGTCCAGTAGCTTAGGTTTACTTTTCTAGCACCGTGTTACTCTTTAAATCTCATGTTTTGGGAGGCGTCTTAACCTCCTAAATCGATCTCTTCTTAATTAAACCATACCTTACATCCGAAGTAAGGGTTCTGCGACAGACTCTAGAGAAATATGATCATGGCCTTAGGGTCAGTAAATTTCACCTGCAGTCTTTTGAGTTTGTGTCTTCTTGCAAATTAGATTATTTCCTCTTATAGACACATGTAACTTTTCATAGTACTCACTTGAAACAAAGGCAGGCTTATCTAGTTTGCATCTAAGAAAAGTACAATTGACATTTTGAATAAAATATGACTTTGTCTTTTACTTATTGAAAACATAATCACCACAAATATCAAATACCTGTAATGTACTCTAAATAAACCAAATTTCAATAATACACGTATATTATACATGCATTTAGCAATACACAAGGATAAACCAAACAACCATTATTTGTTTGTTACTTATAATCAGGTCGTCTTATTCTTGTTCTTAAAATTCTTTAGCAGGCTCCAGAAGCTCTTGTTCTTTGAGCCATCTCCCTCGCCCTTCTTGTTCTCTATCGCTTTTGCTATCATGAACTCGACCAGCTCATCAAGAGCAACTTCAGGATCGTCGGCTTTCATGAGCTGCTGTGCAACTTCTGCCGGAGTAGCCGGAATCCTCTGAATCAGATACTCGATTTTCTGGAAAAGCGCGTGATCCTGAATACCCAGATACTTTGCAGCCAGAAATTTGAACCCTGCAACCGTGCAATGACCCATATAGATATGCACATCCATTCTTCCTGGCCGGAGCAACGCCGGATCCAACTTCTCCTTGTGGTTCGTCGTGAAGATGATAATCCTCTCATCTCCGCAGCTCGACCACAACCCATCGATGAAATTCAACAACCCAGATAGCGTCACCTGAAATTTTTATCCCAGAGCAACGAAGGAAACCCAAAAATCAAATTCAATTTGAAACAGAGTAATGAAGAAACAGAGTTGCTCGACGTTTGCTTTACCCCTTCGTTGGCTTTGCGCTTTTTATAGTCAGGATGGTTCTTATCAATCATCTTTTCATCTTTAGAACGAGGTTTGGTGGATTCGGAATTGCAATCCACGTCCTCAATCAGAAGAATGGATCGATTCGTGGTGGCGGTGAGCACCCTGCGAAGCTCGAAGTCGTTGCGAATCCCCTGAAGCTGAAGATCATAGATGTGGAACCTGAGGTAGTTGGCGATCGCGGCGACCAGAGTGGACTTACCAGTGCCAGGTGGGCCCCAAAGAAGGTAGCCTCTCTTCCAAGCTTTCCCCACGCTTCGGAAGTAGTCCTTCCGCTGGACGAAGAGATCCAGGTCGCGAATAATCCCCTGTTTCTGCTCTGGCTCCATGGCCAGAGTGTCGAAAGTGGCAGAGTGCTTGAAAACGGTGGACTCCCAGTAGCACTCGTGGCGGTTGTAGGTGTAGATGTTGAGAACCTCCCTACGGTTGAGGATCTTCTCCGCAGTCTGGCAAATGTGAGGGATGTAGCTCTCCGTGACTCTCTGTTTGTCACTCCTCTTGCATCTCAGTTGGTAACACTGCGTTTTGTAAGAAAAGTAGACGTTTTTGTTCTCCCTCTCGTTCAGCGTCCACTCAAGCTTCATCCCTAGAACATCAGAATTGATATGGAAATTCAAACAGTTGTCCACCAACATTAATGATGATCAATTGGGGATTGAGAAGGGATGTGTGTTGTACCTTGGAAGTGGTCGACGATTTTGGTGAGGACGGAGACGCCGGGCTGCGCCTTGGCGAGGAGGTTGTTGTTGTCGTTGTGGCCGAGGAGGAGGAAGCGGGCGCGGGGGCCGACCTTGGTGGGCAGGTAAGCTTGGACAGCGCGGAATGTCTCGTTGTCGACGGCTTCCCAGTGGTCCTGAATCAAGAAGGTGAAGTCCCGGCTGAAATAGGTGGAAACCAAGTCGGAGGTTCTGCGGGTGATGAATTCCTGGATGGCTTCGGGCATCATGTCGTGGAGGATCGTGCGGAGGATCATGATGATGGCCGAGAGGGAGGCGTAGATGGCGAGTAGGGACGACATTGTTGGCAGTTGCAGTTCTCCCATTACAGTGATGATGATGGGTTTTTTGTTTTTAGGTTTTCTCTGGATTTTGCTCTGCTCTGAAACTGGATATGATGATGAAGACTTGACAGTCTCCTCCTCTATATATAGAGCGGGTAGAGTACTATGTGCCACCATATCCATCCAGTAGGAACACTTGAGGAGGTTCTAAGGACCCGTCGGTCGGGAAAGAGGAAGAAAGGATAGAAAATGCAGAGCAGCGGAGGAGCAATTTCTTTGGGGCAAAAAGGGAGGATCGAGAAAAGGGGGCTGTGGTAAGAGAAGGCTGCCTTGCCTTGCCTGGCCGACTGTCATAAAAAAAAAAAAAAAGACTCGACTCCCCTTCCTTCCCCACGTTTCATTTTTTCTTTCTGCTCCGTCGGCCGTGGTCATTTTCTAAGGTTAAATACAACAAACAATCCAAGACCAATTAACTTAGTGTTGGTTTGAAAGTCGCGATTGTTTTGTTGAGATTGTCATTACATTGTTTTTTGTTTTTTAGCAGAACCAAGCCTTTATAACTTATCACTAATTTAGTGTATGGTTCGTTCGTCTTATCTTATCATCCATCTACATCCATGTGCATGATGTTAGAACAAGGAACAGGGGTTATTTGGCACATGTGTTTGCTTAAGAGTAAATTAGTCAAGAACGTCGTCGTTTAAGGGTTAGCACAGATAGGATACAGCAAGCAATCGTGCAAGCTTGCTGAGTCAAAGTTCTGTTAGTGAGTAGCGTATCTTAAGGGTAGTGGGCAAGAAGATAGGAGTCGTTTTCCCATCCCAGCAAATAGAAGATAGGAGTATGATGTATTTAAACACTCTTTCTACATTGAATAAAGTTTTGTCAGTTTGCAGAGATTTGGCTTCACATTGTGGTATCAGAGCCATAAGCATACTGTAACCAAAAGATTTTCAGAGTTTTGAGTGAACGTTTGCAAGTGTGATTGCAGACTTGGAAACGAGGAAACAGAGTGATATAAGTGAAGAAAAACAAAAAGGGGAGGTGAGTGAAACCTCAGGACTTGGATTTGTGTGGGTTTTTTGTGAGACGGTTCTGTGTGTGAAATACTGCAATCTTGATTGCAGGATAGGGAGTTGGGAAACACGAGGGATAAAGGTGAGGATCCTTACTAAGGGGTGAGTGAAGTCTCGAATTGAAGTAAGTGAAAGATCCTGAGTTGAGTAAAGTGCAGATGAGTGAATTTGGAAGCTATGCACAGGTGTGCATTCCAAAATTCAATGGTGATTATGATTACTGGAGTCTTGTGATGGAAAACTTACTTCGATCAAAGGAGTATTGGCAAGTGGTGAGTGATGGATTCAGGGAACAAGGATAAGGAGAGGAGTTGTCCGCAGTTGAAACAAAGGAGCTAAATGATTTGAGGCTCAAAGATTTGAAGGCCAAGAACTATCTATTCAACTCTATTGATAAGGTAATTCTGAAAACTATTACCAAGAAGAGAACTTCTAAGGAACTATGGGATTCTATGAGACAGAAATATCAAGGAAGTGCTAGAGTTCAGAAAGTTCAATTGCAGACTTTGAGAAGAAATTTTGAGCTTCTAGAAATGAAAGAAAGTGAAACGGTGACTGAATATTTTGGAAGGGTTATGGCAGTGGCTAATTCCATGAGGTGTTACGGTGAGAATATGACTGATACTCATATTGTGGAGAAAATTCTTAGGTCTCTAACAGAGAGGTTTAATTATGTTGTATGTTCAATAGAGGAATCAAAAGACATAGAGTTGTTATCTGTTGATGCACTTCAGAGTTCCTTGCTAGTGCATGAACAAAAATTCCATAAAAGGCCTGCTGCAGAGGAAGATCAGGCTCTCAGAATGCATTATGAAGCTGACGGAAGAGCCGGCAGAGGCCAAGGAAAAGCACCCTACCGGGGAAGAGGAAGAATCAGAGGTGACAGAACCTGGAATAGAGATACAGTGCAGTGTTTTTACTGCCATAGGCTAGGTCACTTCAAATATGAGTGTCCTAAGCTCTTTGGGCAGCAGGTTCCTTCCACCACTGCTTCTGCTTTCCAGGGAACTAAATACCCTGATATGAAGGAGGAAGTACTTCTAATGGCCTATACTGCAGGAGAGGTAAAGAAGGAAGAAACTGAGATGGAACAAGAAGTGCAGATGAACTTGTTGGATACACCTTGTAGTGAAGGCTGGTGGGTTTTGAACTCGGTGTGTAGTCACCACATGAGTGGTAACAAGGAATGGTTCACTAACTTTGACAACAACTTCTATTGTACTGTTAAGTATGGGAATGGAACCAAGATGGAAGTTGCAGGGAAAGGATGCATCAAACTGAGGGTAGCTAAGTTGTCACTATTGGTTCAGAATGTGTACTACGTACCAGGTCTGAAAACTAACTTGTTGAGTATAGGTCAAATGCAAGAAAAAGGTTTGATATTTCTTATCAAGGGTGGGGTCTGCAAGATCTTCCATGATAAGAAAGGTTTCCTGTTGCAGACAAGGATGAAACTCAACAGAATGTTTGTGTTAGAACCTGAGTTGGTTGTATCACAAACGCCCACTGATGTACAGTGCTTGTGCATTCAAACTCATAAAGTTGAGATGGGTGGTGCTGAAATAGATGGAGAAACTCCCATTCAGGAAGTACCAGAGACACATTCACAAGATGAACTCACAACAACAACAATGGTAGCAGCAGGTGAGAAGCATGAGAAAGTTGAAGTGTGTGATTTATTTAATGAATCTCAACTTGAAGCATCAGAAAGTCCAGAAAATTTTATAGCAACTGGTCTCACCTTGCCAGTCTTGATGATTAATTCACAGAAGAAAGAAATAGTACAAGGACTGTCAAAGCTAAAGGAAACAACTGCAATTGTATATGGTGATGGTGAGTTATCAAAGCCTGAAGTAGATGACTTTGGAGTATCAGCTAGAGAGATTGCCAATCCAAGAGTATCATCAACTATACATGACATAACCATAGCTACTAATACAGCAGCAACAACAAGAATTGACCGAACTCATTCTTCAACGAATTCATATCCTCAAGAAGAAGATCATGGTTCAGATGGTGGTTTGGAACTTCTTACAGATGAGTTGGTACCAAGATTTAGACAGCGGCCACTTTATTTGGACAAAGAAAATAAATGGTTGTCTAACTGGTGTGCAATGTTTTTGTCTGTTGAAGTCTTTCAACACTCTAACAAAAGAGTTAAGGAGGCTAAGTTGAGAGAAGTGATAAGATTGAAGTGGCAGTATAATGCTAAGAGGAATACTTGGAAATTAACACACTTACCAGCTGGAGCTAACAGATTTGGTATCGAATGGGGGTCCACAATTAAGCTGAAAGAGCGTGGTGATTTCTATGAAGAGCAACCACAAGGCCTTGTGGTTGCAGGAGAGGGAGTTGCAGTGTACACGCTGAGGGAAGGTTTGAATGGTCTGAAACTGGTTTCAAGAGCATGGAACAAGATAGCCAGTACTTTGTATGAGTTGGTGCAGGTATCAAGATCTTAAAGGTGTTTAGTTGCAGCTGGTTTAGTGAATTCTTCACCAGCTTTTGCAGCTGACTTTCCTCAGGGAAAATCTGCTAAGATTGACATGATTCTTGGAGCAAAGGTTACAGAAGCGAGGGATGATGTGCTGGTGGATACCTGTTACAAGAAATCGATGGGAAACTTGTTGTACTTGAAGGATACTTTTGGTTGTGATATTGTGTACAAAAGGGGGGCTCAAGAAATCTGCTTGGAGGGTTGTATCAATTACCATTATGCTGCTAATATGGGGAAGAGGAGACATGTAAATGGTCACGAATTCCAAGGAGCAGGAGGAGTATTCAGGATTTCCATTAAGAAGCCATTGATTATTTTGTTCATCATTGCAGCAGAGTTGGCATCTGCTTATTACAAGGAAAATTACATATGGTTGAGAGAGGTTTTGAAGCTAATGAGTTGGTCTGTGTGTGCTTATAGTGGGACCAAAAAGGGTGATGACTACTCAGGTATCATATTGTCAATACTCCATATGAGGTGCAAACGTTTGTTGTGCAAGGTTTCAGTGAATGGAGGAAGCCACAGGATCGTTGTGTCACGGTTCAGAATTGGAGTATGCAAGTTCTCTGCATTTTTTTGGAAAGCTGGAATCAAATTTATTACAAGAGTTGGTGGTGCTTGTTGTTTTGGGTTCCGGAGTCAGCAAATGTCGTTGTTGTTAATGGTTAAACTGAAAACCTGAAACATCCTTTTTCAGTTGTTTTCAGTTTAGGGGAGGCTATGTTAGAACAAGGAACAGGGGTTATTTGGCACATGTGTTTGCTTAAGAGTAAATTAGTCAAGAACGTCGTCGTTTAAGGGTTAGCACAGATAGGATACAGCAAGCAATCGTGCAAGCTTGCTGAGTCAAAGTTCTGTTAGTGAGTAGCGTATCTTAAGGGTAGTGGGCAAGAAGATAGGAGTCGTTTTCCCATCCCAGCAAATAGAAGATAGGAGTATGATGTATTTAAACACTCTTTCTACATTGAATAAAGTTTTGTCAGTTTGCAGAGATTTGGCTTCACACATGATGAGTACTTCTGGAAAGCACTAAGCTGATTGGTTTCTTATTACTGATTGGTCAGTTTGATACTTTTTGGTGGTTGATTTGTCATTGACCTCTTGTTTCCGTAATACCTGGTTATCTAGCAAGGACTATATTTTATATATATACATACATAATTGGTTCGGACTAACGTATGTCAGGCATATGCTATACGTTTGCATTCACAATTTCGTATGTTTGTCGAGTTTTACTATTTAGATCAATAATTAGTCGGAGTTTGAGGCATGATACTGTACTTTAATTTCTAATGGGTGTACCTCAGTCTTAATTATCGAACCTGGATCATCATAAAATTCATTTAATCTATAAAAAATGTACAATTTTGATTCATCGAAATATATCAAAGTACATATAGCATTGTCAAAAGGTTTATTTTTGAATGTCCAGAATACAATATTGATTGTTCAATTTTCCCTTCCTCAAAGCCTTTTATTAAGTATTAACAACTTAAACAATTGTTCTATGCTGTGTATCCTCTTCTAATAGATTGTTTAATTTCATATTCTTTGAAATCTTCTTTGGTTGTTTCATGCGCTAATTAAAACAGATTACAAAATAGAAACACTTAAGTCTTTAATGATTATGTGTAGTAAATTCATTTGATTGCTTAAAAACTTTAGACACTTGCTTAGTGATTCTGATTTGATGTATAATATATGCATTGTGTTTCTCAAATTCTTTTATATTATTCAAACCTATTAAAATTCTATTAGTTATCCAAATCTTTCATAATGCATCAAAATATTAGTCATTTTTATGTTATCGTCAATAATTTTGTATACCTTTTCTTAGTTAAAATATTAAAATTTTGAAATGTTGACCTTCATGAGTCTCTTCTAAGTCAGTATCATGTTGCCAAGTCAATATTACTAACAAAATTGCTAATTGGAAGTTAACATTTGGTTAATTCTTAGTATTTTGATAGTTTTGGATAATATAAATGAATCTGAAAAAGAATTGGATAAAAAATAGACATTTTAAAGAAAATGGAAGTATAGAAAAGGAAAGTATTATATAAATATTAACTAGATAATTAGCACGAACATTTTTCCAAAAGATGTATATGTTAATCGGAGGTGAAGATCACTTTTGTTTTAAATGAACATTGATGTTATTAGAGAACGAAATAAACTTTTCAAGAATCGTTAACCTTTGAGATACTAATATAGTTTTTGATTAAATAAATTTTTTCAAGAACACATAGTCAGTAGCTTGAGCAATTCATTCTTCTTTGTGATTCTAAGAAATGACTTATTCTTATTGACTTGTGTTTATGTTAATGATGAAATATCTTAGAAGAATAAATTGCTTAGTTGTATTGATGAATAATTATAGTAAAATTAAATTGAGATGAGATAATTATGAGTGATTTAATGATATCGAAGTATGAATTTAATCCATTAAACATATGATTCTAATAAATGGCTAATTCTTATTAACTTAAGTTTATGCTCATGACAAAATATTTTAGAAGAATGAATTGCTTAGTTGTATTGATGAATGATTATAGTGAAATTAAATTAAATTGAGATTTAGAGAATTATGAGTGATTTATATATTAAAACATAAGTTTAATCCATTATACATAATACTCCACTGTTTATATAGACAAATACAAAGTTACCAATAATTTATATTCAACTCAAACCATCATATTATTGTTTGTAATATGATGTTGTTTAACTTAGTGTTTGATATATACGGATACCATATAAAATAAATTTGAATTAAGATTGATTTGGTCATTATTTAGCATTTGAAATACCAATAAAGTGATTTCTCCCAGTAATAAGTAAGTCCACACACTAATTAATGAGTAGTGACATGAATTAGTCATGAATCTTGAACTTGAGCATTTAGTATACAATGGTAGAACATATGTTCACTAATATAACTTTTTAGGAATTGAGAAATGAGAAACTTGTTTAATTTATAGTAGAAAAAAATGTAGGAGAAGAAAAAAAACATTTAACGTAAGTCCTATCGAAATGGGAAATTTGCCTAATCGACAGCTGGAAAAGCATATTGATATCGTATTGAAACATTTTAGATTAAGATTGATTTTGATCGTTATTTAGCATTTGAGATACTAATTAACTGATTCTCCTAGTCATGTCAAAACCCAGACTAATTAGTGACATGAATTAGTCATGATTTTTGAACTTGAGCATTCTGTAAACAACCATAGAACATATCTACACTAATATAACCCCTTATGAGTTGAGAAAGGATAAACTTACCTAATCTATACAGGAAAAACAAAGTGAAAGAAGGGGAAAAAAACCTTTAACGTAAGTTCTAGCGAAAGGAAACTTGCTTAATCGACAGCTAAAAAAAGTAGATGAAGGGGGAAAATCATACTTGAGAGAAGAAAAAAACCTCATATAATCTATCTACACATAATATAATACACCGAAGGGGAAAACGGGAGCTCCATTTCAAATTTCCTACAACAAGAGTGAAAGTAGGAAGAACATTTTGGTCTTCACAATTACTTTTTTTTATTCATTAAAAAGACACGTAGTGGGATTCAAACCATGACAATTTTAAGGAACCATGACAATTTTAAGGAACCATGACCATTTTAAGGAAAAGTAAGGATCATAACCAATCACACTAAGTACATTTGTTGTATCTTTTTAAATTAAAACCATATAATAGCAGGGAGGAAAAAACCCTTCCCTCATTTCAAATTCCCTGCTCCAGGAGCGTTTGTAGGAATTATAGAATAGGGAGTGTCAATTTATTCCTCTTTCCTCTGTGAAACGTGCCAACTTAACGTACACATGCAGATTCAAACGAGTTTAGGAGTGTCAATTTTTTTCATTAAGCCGTTTTATTTCTCCGTGGTGATAAAATATATATGAAAAGGCAAAAATAATACTTCTTTTTATTGCTAAAAATAAAAAATTTAACAATAAACTAATGCATGGTATCTAATGGGCTAACCGCTAACCATAAAATAAAAGAGTTGAATTGGCCTGACCTACACGGGATTTGGCCATCAAGTAAAATAAATGAACATCATTGGTTTGACATTCTAAAACAAGCTATTTTTTCTGGCATAATATATATTATGTTATTATTTTATATCTTAGTGGCTAAAATATAATGTATTTTAAAGTTATTCAATGGTTCAACCTCGACCAACCCAATTAGTCCAATTTTTATCATTTCAAATATATATTATATAATTATTTGATATCATAATGATCAAATTATAATGTATTTTATAGGGAATCGTTTGGTATTTGTTAGTAAAAAACTAAACAGAAAGATCTATTTGGTTATTTTAAACATTAAAACGATCCTAACATTTTCAGTTCCTTTTGAATTTTTATGGTTTTATTCCCGAATAAGTGATGTGCAAATGGCAAATTGCAGTCATCTCTTTTCTTTCACTATTTTTTATTTTCAAATAGAAAGTTTAAAAGTAAAGAATAATTAGAATTTGGCATGGGTCGGTCAAACATGTTGCATTTCAAGTTTTGGCCCGTTTTGATCAAGTCTAATTTATAATCACATGGTTCCCTGATACCCGATAAAAATCTCAATCCAAACCAGTTTGGCTGGTGAGGTCCGTGTTTACCACCATTTTCTAGGGATACGACAACGACGGTTCCTATCCCAAATCGTGTCGTTCGTTCTTGATTTCCTTAGATTTTATCATGGCATGAAAAAAACCAGAAAGCACAATGACGACAAGATGAAAGTTTTATAAACCAAATTAATCGGCCAACGGGCCGAATAAAAGCTAGTAATGATTGTGAGATGCTCATTTCCCGAAAACCGACGGGATAGGCGATTTTTTATTCGATTTTATGAAATTCGATTTCTATAAAACTTACTCCACCTCATCATATTACCAGAAACAATATTGTTTCACAAGGTAACAGGTACTTGATTTTGGTTCATAAGGCCGATTTTTGATTTGTTGCATCATTAATGTCTCTTTCCTGCTAAAATTCACTATTTTTATTACGTGTTTCCTAAAAGAACTATACAACAATAAGCTATACACCCCATTACATTATCAAATTTCATACCTCACCTTCCTCCGGCCAACTGGCCGGGACCAACGCTAGTATAAGTTATAGTGAAAGGGGGAATTTACATAATCGACAAACGATATCCGGCCGATCCAACCTAATTGGGTAGGGGAAAATCCGAATTCAAAGGATTTTTAGTGGGTATGGGTAAATCCCGAACCCGAATATTGCAGGTAATGGGTGGGCATGGTTTTCTCACTATCTGGCCCGAACCCGCCCGATTATACACATTAATATGTATTTTGTCTAGAAATGATCATTATTTTTCTTAACATATTTTATATTTAGCATATAAATATGATGTTTTCATGAAATTGTAATGTTTTTAATTAATTATCTTCATTCTAGTGATTTGTTGTCGTACTTTTCTTCTTATATAATGTGAGTATACGTGTGAATGTTAACATTTTGGTTAGAGTTATAACGAGAAATTACTATCCATGGATAACCGCGGATACCCGAAAACCGAACGGGTATGAGCATGATTTTAATTTTCTACCCAATTCTTATGTGGATATAGATATGGATAAAATCCGAACTACTTTAGATAGGATAACGAATATGCACTACTCGTCCCCCACTCCACTCCACCCCACCCGTTGCCATCTGCTATACTTCCATGCGATCAATTTGTGCATTTCAAAGATCCATATCCACTCCAGCAGCCTTACTCGTATGTCGTATCTGACTGACTGACTGACTCTTACATCCCCATCCCCATCCCCATACGACTCAACAATTAAGCAACCTTACGTATCCTGCATGATAGACACAAGTTTGAACATCCTTACGAGTCCGGATACACAAACATCTCTCCTACAAGCCAGTTAACGGCACACCAACTGAAATGAATCAAATTTACCACACAGGAAAGTTAAAATACTCAAGACAACACTGCCAACTCGGCGATTCTATGGAGGCAACATTTTTTTTACCAGTCTGAGCCAACACTGAAACTCATCCTAGTATGTACACAATTTACAGCACTTCTGCCAACAGAATTGGGGCCGTAACTACATCTTTTCCCTATCGTTAAATCTCTCTTTCAGTCATCTTTGTAAGGCTACCTTGATTGCGAGAACTGACTTCTGGAACAATAAACTGCAGCTCAAACTTCTCGCATGTGTTAATCTCTGGACACAAAAATAACACAGCAAGGCTCAAGTTGTATGACGATGTTGGTAATCCTTGGACTTCCTCAGTATATCCTTCAGCACAAAAGCAATTCGATGTGCCATGTGATGTTCTAGAAACCTCTCCTTCACACGCTCATAGCCTCTCTTCCCCATTGTAAGCCTCCTCTCTACTTGAGTGGCGAGTTTCACCATGTTTTTGGCAAGTGCCGGAACGCCTTCTTTCCCAACTGCATGCAGCATACCAGTAGTCCCATTCACAACTATCTCCGCAGTGCCACCAGCAGCAGTTCCCTGGGGATTGATTTAGAAAAACAGGGATTGAAGTCAGCACCTAAATCTGTGAGAGTCCTAAACAAGCAATTAGAACCAGCTCAGAAGACTGCTACAGAGGACAGAAACCTCACCAGGACAGGCAACTGAAATGCCATGGCTTCAATGGTTATCCTTCCAAAGCATTCTCCCCGCGCCTGCATATGTGGAGCAAAGACGGGACACGTCAATGAAGATTGGTATTAGAATATCCAACCCGTTTCTTTGAAGAGGTCAATGAAATAATTTATATGGTCATTGTTTTGTACTGTCTCAATAAATAGAACAAGCGCTGTAAAAAGCATGACATGAAGGCCTTTGAAAGGACCTGCATTCTTATTTCTAGATAGATACAGACATACATTACAATTGACTAAACAACGAATGGGATGAAGTACCTGAGAGTTCTGAACAAGAACATCAATTGCAGCCAAGTAAGGAGCAACAGTGAGAGTCTTGTTCACAAAGTGAACACGGTGTTGAATCTTTTTCTGCATCACATAACTCCGCAATTCTGTTTCAAACTTTGTTTGTGCACCCATGTCACTCCCCACAATTACAGCATGCACAGATGGCACCTGCAACTTCTTATCCTGGATCAATTGTAACGCCTCATAGAAGGAACGTAGGAATAGATCCTGGCCCTTTCCACGTGAAACACCTGAAATCAATGCATTGATCAGGTTAAAGAAATAAATATATTATTTCCCAACAGAAGAAGAATGATCTTTATCATCTCAAAATCCCAAGTTACTAGAAAGTCATACTGTTTATAATGCCAAACAGTAAATCTTCATCTCGAACTTGAAGAGACTCCCGGATGTGCTCACGCAAAACCCTGTTTGCCACACTATCTTCCGCAACCTCCATAAGTTCCTTGCTATTGCCAAGGTGAACAACATACGTCTCAGGCATTTTAATTCTGCAAAGAGAGGAGTTGCTGATTCGTAAAGGAACTAAATTAACAACATCAAAGCTAAAATCCAATCGTGCGTGAAGATAGCATCCCAAACTGAAGTAGTAGGGATAGCTGATACATTTATCATAACTGCTTATCCAAGACCACTAGAGATTCACTTGTTCCAAGCATAACATGACTTCAATCTCCAGATATGCAAAGTAGCTCTGAAGAGAAAATTTGAAAGGAACAAAACTGAAGATACCGTACACACAAATATTGCACCTACCCAAGACGCACTTGAGTTCGATTCTTCCAGTAATCTGCTGTGACATGTGAATCAATCATAGCACCAGCAACCAAAGGAAGATGTTTGACAAAATCCAATTTAAAGTAATGGCCCCGCATCTCATGGATCCACCACAACACTTTTGGAAGAACACGAGAAAGATTTTCCTTAAGAACAGGATCCAGCCATTTCCCAGCAACTGCTGTATTCAGAACAACCAGATCAGCTTTGAGGGCAGCATCAATAGCTTCTTGACCCTTTGCAGATATTACCTGCAAAAATATGGCAACAGGATGACCAGCTCCTTTATCAGATCTCCTACAAACAAGAGATAGCAGGATGGAAAGTGGGTGCTAAAGGGTATATAGAACGAGTGACACAAAATAAAGTCAACTTAGTATAGAAGTATGTGCGCATTTCTTATGTAGCAAATTTAGAAGACCGAATCTTAGTACCTGAACTCCTCGGACCAACATTTTCTCCTCCAAATTGTAAATAACCCCATCAGTTTGCAGAGGTTTTTGGATGGTTATCCAAGAAACTCCAGCACCAACACTCCGTAGTAGAAACGCTAGTTCCATGAGCAGCAATGGCCCACCTACAAAACATAGCATATGTAATGTTAGATGAGAGAAATAGATAGATCACAAGAAACAATTTTTCCCCCTTATGCAGCTCAAATGCTGTCAAACTTGTTACAAATGTGTAGAAATAGAGAGAGAAAATCAACAAAAAGTTGGTCACAGCACAGTTGGGATGTTTCCTTCTATGATTTGACATGCATAGGAAAACAACATACTTGCATCTCTTCTCCATCTTGCAATGCATTATACCAATAAATGCATTACTATGAGGAAGTGTTAGAAATCAGAAACATCCCAAAAACAGAAGTAGTCTGTCAACACAATTTCTTCGTAGTTACTCAAGGCGATAACAAGTTCCAGATCACAGAATAACAACCATAACTGAACCAATTCCAGATAGCATTTCGTATGGCCAGGCCACTATGATAACGTTTCCTTTTGAGGACCACATATCTTCCCGGCATTACCACACCCGTTGAGACATTTTTCCTAGCTCAAGTCACACATTCCATCACTATGAGCCTGGAAGAATCTTTCAGAGCAAGATAGTTAGCACAACTAATTGTGATAAAACCCCTAAACTTGCACATGAGACTTCCATGAAAATCACAATGAAAGAACACAAATGTGTTCATCAGTCATAGTTCCAGCATTAAGTACTCAAACTTCCTCCAAGGATGCTGAGTGGTTGAGAGGTTCCTCTCATTGCAACAATTAGCACCAAAAACTGAGTTCCCATTAAGCAAAAAAATCCAATCCCCATCAACTCCCGTGAACTAAATGTATCTATGACACCATTGGGAGATTCAATCTCAACTTGAACGGAGATAAGAACACTAGAAACATGGAAAGAACAAACAAAAAAGGCAAAGGGAAAAAAAAAAAAAAACGGATAGCGACAAATTTTGTTCCATGTTCAATGTAGAAAAAAGAAAGAGAAAGACAATACCAGAAAGGGAAAGCTCATGCGAGACCAAAAGTACACGCTTGGATCTCATGAAGCTGAGGGGACTAGGGGGCGTCGCCTTCTTATTCACCGGCACCGGTGCATTCCCGGAAGAACGAGCAGATCCCTGAGCAACTTCTTCCAAGTGACGATCGCAGGAATCGAAAGCGGACCTGATAAAGAAAGCGATGACGGTGGAGATGGAAAGCATGATTAACAGACCCAGCAGCCATCTCTTCTGCAGAAGCGGCCAACCGACGGAGTGTTTCGCCATGTCCGCTGGCGAGTAGCTGCTGCCAGTGGCTCTGCCTTTAGAGCTGATGCCGAGCGTGGAAAAGAGGAGGATAAGAGGAGGCGAGAAGAAGGCTTTAGGGGGAGGAGTATCTGGAGCAGCATTTTAGGGTTGGGAATGGGGTGGAAGAGCAGTGATTTCTGTACATTTGGCTTTCCCGGAGTGGCCACTTGTAATTTAATTTGATAGCTGGAAAAACCAAACCCAAACGGAGAAAACAAGAAAACGGAGAGAAAGAAAACCGGAAACAATCACAAAACTTGCTAGCAAACGAAATTCCTTCCCACAGAAAGGAAAAAGGCAAGCTTGAAACTTCAGAGACTACCCAATGTGTTCCGTCGTGGGTTTCAACTGCGGATTGGAGATGGGAACAGGGTTGAGATGATTGTTCGGAGTAAATGAAGTTTTGATCGCAGCAGAGGGGAAAGAATGATTGTGAAGGTCAAATCTTGACTATGGATTTCCCGAACTGATAGCCAGGCAGAACGAGGAGAGCTATGGAAAGATTTCTAAGCAAGGGAATGATTACAGCTTTTTTTTTTTTTTGACATAATGGAATGATTACAGCTAAAGCTCAGATTTCGATCGTACCTAGCCAGAATGGAATGGAGATAACCAAAAAGGAAGGAAAATGAAGGTAGGGGAAAGGACGCGTGACTACACGTGCTGTTAGACCACCCAACTCAATTTGGGAGGCGAGGGCGACAGGGCTAGTTTGGTAAATGACTGCTCAATTGCTCATCCTTCCCTGAAAATAAAATTCGTTTGGCGGATCGCAGTTTACCAATTACCATGCTTAGGGGAAGCCGCAAGTTTCGAACTTTTTTAGCGGGGGAGAAATTTCCTCTGCTCCTCCCTCTCCGTTGCTATTAGATAGTGATCCCCGTCTCAAAGATTGCGTCTTTCTTACAGGATTCGTTTGGGTTTAAACCACCAGAGAGTAGCGACGAACTCAGGAGGGTTTCAGTCTTGATGGTGAACTCAAGTGCGTGGAACTTACTCAGATTCTTGTTTTTTGTTTGAATTGAGAAAGTCTGAATAGTGCTGGGATTCAATGACTTTCTTGTTCAAATGTGAACGACGCTGAGGCTTTTTGTTTCAGCCGGGATGGTGATTGGTTTTGTATGGCTTTCTCATTTACTTCTTTCTCTTTTTGTGAGTTATAGCCGCCTGAAATTGGAGTTCTGGAGGCATTCAGGTGGGATTGTTGCAACATGCAATACTGTTCCATGGATTCCTTCAGCTGGTTATGCATCTTGCTCATAGGTAAGATTGAGTAGGGTGGCTCTTGTTGTTGCTGCTGCTGCTTGTTACCTTGTTTATTTTTGGTTTTCGTTCCTTATTGGCTGGGTTTCCTTGTCTAATTGTATCTCTTTCGCTGGATTCTTTTCAGCCTTACTTTTACAGATTCTTGGCTCCACTGCTGTTCCTGTACCAAACTCGAATTGCTATTCTCTTGACAATTCTAGTCGCCTTGTGGACTTTGTATCCTTAGTTTCCAATGCTTGATATGTCCTCTGAATATATACAGGTCATCCAAGGTTGGGACCTCTTGTTTATTCTGTCATCAAACTTGTGTATTAAGCCTGCCTTGATATTGTTCCTACTTAATCCATTGGTCAGAGCAGCTTGATTGGACATGCATTCGTGCATGAGGCAAAGGTAATTGACATTAGCTGAATTTTTAAGGTTGAGAGTGGTCAAGTCATATGAAAGATCCTGCTGCAGTGTTCATGAATGTTTCCTCAGATTATGACAGATTGATTGTATGGCTTCTACAATGCAGGACAATACTGATTTGGTAGTTCGCTTTTGCAAAGATGTGGAGACTAGATCACAAACGGTAAACAAGTCATCCTGTTTCGATGCCTTATGATAGGGCACCGTCTCTTATTATGGTCCAACCGTCCAAGTGACTTCTTATTGTTGTTCAGGGATATATTGACTTTGGTCGGTTCAGTAAGCCCGGCTCATTCCACACTGGTTCAGGACAAGTGGATTTTGTTCAAGTAAGCAATATCGTTGAGTTCAATTTTTGTTTTGTGAATTTGAAACTGTAACTCTAATTTCTGAGTTATGTGCTACACAGTATGAAGTATTAGGGTGCCATATTATTGTGCTATAGCTTCCAGTTAATTCTGCGAACCACATAATTTTCTCTGTCCAGGATTTTTACAACGGTGACCTAGTGAACTGCGAGAATAGTTACGACAAACTGGGACGCACTGCTCAGGTAAATTGCGGTTTTAACTGTATACAGCTCTCTTCTCAGGGAGAAGTACTTTTTATCCCAATCATGGATGTGTTAAGATCTATGTGCATCCAGATCCCAAAGATATTTCTATTGAATTTATGGTGTTAGTTTTGATATTGTGGTTTCAGGTGAACCTTCTATGCGGAGGTTGCTTAAATGGAGCATGTCAAGGTTAGTAATGCTCATGTATGAGTTTCAATACCGTGTTGATCTGGCTTGAGGAAATCCTTTAGCCTCTTCATTCATGGTAAAGATACTTGCTCCTTTTCTCATTTATCGAATCTAACATTTACTTCACTTCTGATCTCAGGTGGACTTGGTTGCATATGCAATTTCACTTATGAGTCAACTTGCAGGTCTTCATTCACTGCTCTGAATTTCGTATTTTAAAGAAACAAGTTAATTCTCACATTATGTTGTCTCCTTTCCAGTGCAGCATAGTTAATTTTAAGTCCATAAAATGTTATCAGGTTACTACCTGCGTCGTCAAGATGCATGGGATTGTATCTGTTAGGTCTACCATTCACAGAATGGCATGAAATGTGTATTGCTTACCCTTGTTGAACTGCCGCTCAAAAATCTTTTGTTACAATATTACTGCAATGAGCTTGGTATCTAAGATAACTCAACATTGAAACATGAGGCATTTTATGTTGAGCAATTAGTTAAATTGACAACTATTATTTTCCAGATTAAACAAGGACTGGGAAACTACTGTTTACTAATTGCTTTATGGTGTCCAATGCTGCATCCTTCATTGGATGTTGATTCAGTTGCTTTAATGTGTTTGCTGCTATCACGATATTCTCATGTGGCATTTTTGGAGTGATTTGTTATAGTGCTTTATTTTTCTTTTCTCTCTCCGATGCGCATCTCTTTTCTTCCAGGGTTGTGATTGATCTTGCGATTCCATGCGAGAAACCCGGTCCCCGTGTATTCCAAGGTTTCACTGTTGGTTTCCACCCACGGTCCTGGGAAATTGTAGGAGAACTTATTCTCATTTCTATAATTATTTGCACGTGAAGTAGGATATGTTTTTACCGGTTCGTTGATTATGGTCTTGCAGGTGTATGATGGTTTGACTCAGCCAGGTTTTGAGAAACCCCACCAAGATTTCAGGTAAAAGTATATACATTTCTTTGATGTGTTTTCTAAATGACACTTCTTTCTGCCTTTTTTTTACTATTCATGACGATTTTGCTTAAATCTAACAGTCTATGTTACTTCACAGCCTTGGCACGGAACAAAATGTTGTTACCCTCTATATGACAGCAATTGCTTCCCTTTCTGCATTGGTGAAAAAACCTATGATTGAGGTAATAACTTGGGTCAATGAATTAAGAAAAAAGCTGCTTTGTTCTGAGGAGGCCTAATAAAGATACTATGGTTGCTCAAATTGTGTTTCAGGTTCATCCTCGGAAAGGGCTAGAAGTTGTCTTGTCTGGATCTGGGGCAAGTGGTACTCCTCCAACGACTCTGTCTCCGAGCATGTTGATTCTGGAATGGGAATGTATGGTCGTTACCTCTCTTCCACTGTTATCTGATATTTTTGGCTTGGGGGTTGTGCTAAACTTGAGCTTGTTTGTTATGAAGGTCAGAAGGGTCGCATTATACCATATGAAGTGAATGTCACAATACCCATAGATGGTTACAGTCCTATTCAGTTTTTCCTCACAAAAATGTGTGGTAAGCTCCTTCTTTTCTTCTTGAAGAATGATGCGCCAAGTTAGATTTCATTTTTCATTATCCTCGGCATCCCACTTTGTTCATATGTTGAGAGGAACTAGTCCCTTACAAATGTTACTGAAGAAAAATTAACAACATTTTTTTAGGTCTGATGAAGCATTGCAAAACTTTTCATTCAATAATTTTATGAACCTTCGTAAGTCGAGATTAAAACTCATTGTTCTGTAACTACTAGGGCCTATTGAAGGGTTGTTTGGTAGCCATGTGTAGTAGAATACATGGATTTTAAGAAATTACGTGTCTTGTAGGTAGGATTTCCGAATACTCAAATTGTAAAAAAATTGAGTGTATGGTTAATGATGTTTCACACACGACTGGGTGTATTTGATGAAATATTTGGTAAAGCCTAAAGAGTTTTGGAATGCATGATATCAGGTATTCTGGACATACATGTAGGTTAAAAAACATGGTTTTCATACCAGTTTTAGACAATAAAAACTATGAATTGTCAGGGTTCATGTATTCTCAGAATCACAGGAAACGATACTTAGTTTTTTCCCTCTTCTTCTTAATGGGGGATAACCCCTAGTTACCAAATGATCGCTAAGTCAACTTGAGTCTGCTGTGAGGTGTAAGACATAAGCTACTATAATAAGCTTAGCAGTTAGCTCTACTATTTTCTCTTACAGGTCAATAATTTTTCTCGTTGAAGTATCTTGCTTAGGCAACTTGTTTTGCTAACAACGAAACCTTTTGGTTTCCAAACTTTGCAGAGCATAGGCAAGATGAAGAAGAAAACACGACGAGAGGATGGGTCATATTTGGCATCCTTTCTTGCATGTATGTTTTCCATTTTGTCCCTGAAAAAAGTTAGAGCACGTTCAGATAGTTTGTTTATGAGCCTATCAGTGGACACTATCTCATCTTAACATTTAAATCTAACTGGTGTTCCCACTGAAATTAATCTTTGAACAAACTGGGTTTTGGAGCAGATTCTTTGTCGGTGCAACATTGTTCTGCTGTGCAGGTTTTATTTACAAGACACGCGTGGAACGCCTGGTAAGGCTTCCTTCCCGGGGCTCACATTAATCTCTTTAGTTTTGTGTCACGGTTTCCTGTTCCGTTAAAATTTATAACTTTTTACATGGATCCATTCAAATGCAGCATGGAATTGATGCATTGCCAGGAATGACAATTCTATCTGCATGTTTAGAAGCTGTAAGTAGTGTCAGTTCATTACCACAGATAATGGTGATCCTTCTTTCATGCATTATTGCTAACAGAGTGTTTGAGTATGTGGAATAACAGGTAAGCGGCATGGGCCATGGTTACTCTTACTCCCGAACAGAAGAAGTTCATGGCGGCTATACCAGCGATGCATCATGGGACCGACATTCTGTTTCTGGATCTGCAGCAGCATCATCATCCACTCCAACTCGAGGATCTTCGAGATCAGGAAACGTCCGATATGGCTCGATCTAATGTTTTCCCAGATTCAAGAAAGACGAGAAAAGTTACATCATTTCAGTGTGGTAAATGTGCATGCTAAGAGAACCAATTTGTTGTGGTTAGACTTAGAAGCGGTTGTGAACTTGGAATTTTCAGTTTCTTCAGCAAGCACAGAAATCAGAATGTTATCACCTGAAGTTAGTTGATTTTCATGATCCGTCAGCTGGTGATTCAATGCATTCTCGTTCTAATGCTATGTTCGAGGTATGAATGGTTGTTTGAGAATGGAGACGATGTGGAGGCCCAAAAGCATTGCAGCTGTTGAAGGGTTAGAGAGCTGCTTTTGGAGCAGTTAGCCGACCTTATCTCTGTTACAAGTTGGAATCAGTTTTTGTGAAACCAAATTGCAGAAACATTTTCTATTTTCACCAGCTCTCTTTTTCCAGTTTCAGAAAGCACCTTTTGGAAACCAACCCAGAATATTAGGATGTATTGGAAGAAAGACGACATGAGAAGGTTTCACTTTCAGAAGCAGTGCAGACTGGAGATGATTGTCCAAATTGTCAAAAGAGCAGGTGGAGTATTGGTGTGGACATTGCCAACTTAGTCTACGAAGTGCTTTGTCCTTGAGTTGGCATGCATAGATAACACCTACGCCGCGTGGTGGCCAGACTCGTCTCAAATCTCAATCTCGAATCTTATTGTTTAGAGGAAAATGATATGGTCTTTGACTTGGCTTCTATCATCATTGTTTGACCCTTCTGGATGCGCAGACTGAGACCCACTTTTAGTTAACAGCTCCATTTCTAACTGTTCATTTATTAATGAAGTTGTCATCTTCATCTTCGGGATTGAGTGACTCTGTCACCTGCTCGTAACTAATACTGTTGTGCTGTGTTATGTTCTTTTTGGTCGTGACATTACCCGGTCTCCACTTCTCCTAATTCAATCTGTTTCTTAAGTCTTACGTCACTTGTTTTCTTAACCTTTCCCCCAATAATTTTTCTGTTTGCAGGGATAATAATTTGGTTCTAGTTTTATTATCCGTACTTCGCGTTTGGTAAAAAATTAATTATATTTAAAATTTCATCCATTCATTTATTACGGTAGGCGTATTATGTTTTTTGAATTGATAACTATCATGCCATAATGTTTACAAATACATAAAAATTCATTGGTAATGGGAATAATATGCTCCATCTTCTATGTATTTTAACAAACATTTCCATTTATTGTCTTTAAAATTACTCATGTACTTTAGAAATATTATCAAACATGTTTCTCTGTTAAAGTTTTTATTCAGAAACTATTATCATTGGTCTAACCGTGATTTTTGTGCCACAAATGTCTAAATACCATCATCATTACACTATGGCATTTTTGGTTAATTTATTATAGTCCAATACCTCTAATAATTTCAATTTAATGAGAATTGGAGAAATAAATCGAGTAGCAAACTGATTTTCCCTCCCATTTTTATGAGGTCAGGTCGTCTGAAATAATGTCCGACTGTGGTTGACGATTTTTTTATGAAAATTTTAACAGAAAGACATGCTTGATAATGTTTCTAATGTACATGAGTATTTTTTTATGTACAAAATAGTAGAGGGGCATGTTTAAAAAAAATACATAGTTTAGGAACATATTATGCCCATAACCCAAATTCATTCCACATTGAAAATTTACACGTTAAAATTTCATTTTCTAAAAATCATGGAGCATTAGTTATTTCTTATATAATAACTAAATAAATATATTACGCAAGTCTTCGATAATAATATTTATTTTGTCTAGAAATGATTATTATTTTCTCATCATATTTGATATTTAACATACAAATATAATATTTCCATAAAATCATGTTGTTCTTAAATAATTTTCTTTATTCTATTGATTTATTGCCGTACTTTTCCACTTATGTAATATGAGTATATGTGTGAATGTTAACATGTTTTTTTTTCCGTTGAATCAGTTTCCTCAACAAATTGGGCAAAGCCCAAGTGTGGGGTGAAACGGAATGAGAGGACATCTCCCTCCCATTCCAAAAAAAAAAAACTCTACTCAATCAGCAACATGCTCTACTATTTCTTTTTTTTTTACAAAAGATAATCTTATATAGATTCCAAAAAGATAGTTACATCCTGGAATTCAGCCAGGCCCGAAAATCAAAGAAACGACTCATAGTCGGGTACAAAGAGAGGGCTTTACGAGCCACCAAATGGGCTACCCTATTACTACTAAATCAATCCTAATACCTGTAAATTACTCCTAATAGAAATGTTACATGTACTACGGAACCTTAAATCTTGCAGGATGGCATTTCCCACCACCACTGCACTACGAGCTGCCTCACCATGAATGTTAACATGTTGGTTGGAGTTATACAGAGAAATTATTATCCATGGATAACTGTGGATACCCGAAACCTGAACGAGTATGGGCATGAGCATGGTTTTGATTTTCTACTTGATTCTTATATGGGTATTGGTAAAACCCGAAATACTTGGGATAAAGTAATGGATATGCACTATCCGCCCCGCCCTGACTTATTGACATCTCTAGTATTATTTGATTTTAACTAAAACATTAAATAAATGGATGATGTTTTAAATATTATTTGGTTATGTAAAAAGTAGGAGGGTAAAAAATGTCAACCCCTCTTCCGTTTTACCCCTTCATCAATTTTCCCAGCTTAAAACTTGTGCACTCAAACTCAAAAATCATTTGATTGCTTAAACTATGATTTGACTACAGAGTTAGGTAAGAAGTTTCAAGATTAAAATGTCAAAGCCAAACATGCAATAGGTAATTGAAGAAGCCAAATCTATGAGTTCTGTTGAGAAACACAGCCTGTACAACTCATGACAGCTTTGGCTCAGCTCAATCATTTACTTTTACTACAAAAATTTCTTTGCTACAAGACCACCTTCTTTTCCACTGATTGTTTCAACCTAATGTTTCAACTAATATTGTACTCTCATGAATGTTTCTCAAGTCAAAAAAATGAATACCCTTGTCTTCACATATGACCTTTTCATAATATACTATAGCTAGGTAGCTAACAACTCCATCCGCCACACTTGTTTTCCTATTTTTCTTTTCCAAGCTTTATATGGCAAACAGAGTTAGCTACCAACTCTCAATTATCTGTCTCCCACTCTCCCTCTTTGTGTCTTACCATGTCAAAAGCTTCGTATCTATAAATAGCCTGCTCATGCAAAAGCTTCCATCGTAGCAGCTCTTCCTTTACTTGCCACCTTTTCACTTCTTCTTCTTCTATATCTTTTGGCTTCTGATACCAGAGAAAGAAGAAGAAGCAATCATGGCTCGATATGTTAGCCTTGTCTTTGTTTTCATGTCTCTTCTAGTCATGCCACCATTTTGCTTTGGTGGGAAGAACATTGGTGGGTACTTGTACCCTCAGTTCTATGACTATTCCTGCCCCAAAGCTCAGGAGATTGTCAATTCCATTGTGGCCAAGGCAGTTGCGAAAGAGCCTCGGATGGCTGCTTCGTTGATCAGGCTGCACTTCCACGATTGCTTTGTCAAGGTTCCTTCAGACTTTCCCCCTTCAGCCTTAAATGTTGACAGCATATATATACTACTCAGGGTCTCACTCAGTTGCTCAAGTTCGTTTTTTTTTCCCTTTCCTTTTTGTTCCAGGGATGTGATGGTTCAATCCTGCTAGATGGTGGTTCGGGCATAACCAGCGAGAAGAACTCGAACCCAAACCGCAACTCTGCCAGAGGGTTCGAGGTGATTGACGCAATCAAGTCTGCATTAGAGAAGGAATGTCCTCAGAAAGTTTCTTGCGCTGATGCTCTAGCTCTGGCTGCCAGAGACTCCACTGTACTTGTGAGTGTTTTTATTTTTTTATTTTTATCTTGTCATTTTGCAATGGAACTTCTAATAAATTAGATTCCCTTGAAATCACCATTGATCACCTTTTTCCCTTTGTTCAATCAAGGCTGGAGGACCTAGCTGGGAAGTTCCATTGGGGAGAAGGGATTCCAAAAGTGCAAGCCTGAGTGGATCCAACAACAACATTCCAGCACCAAACAACACATTTCAGACTATCCTGACAAAGTTCAAGCTCCAAGGCCTTAATGTTGTGGACCTTGTAGCATTGTCTGGTAAATAAATAAGTCCAACTCTTTTTTCTCCTGCTGCTATTTTGATGGTTCTGAATTCTGAAACCTCGTTGGACAAAACAAACAGGAAGCCACACGATTGGGAATGCAAGGTGCACAAGCTTCAGGCAGAGGCTGTACAACCAGTCGGGCAACGGTCAGCCAGATTACAGCCTCCATGCATCCTATGCTGCCCAGCTGAGAACCAGATGCCCGAGATCAGGTGGTGACCAGAACCTCTTCTTCTTGGACTTCCAGACTCCGACCAAGTTCGATAACAGCTACTTCAAGAACTTGTTGGCTTCGAAGGGACTGCTGAGCTCGGACCAGGTCCTCCTGACAAAGAATGAAGCATCCATGGAGTTGGTGAAGCAGTATGCAGAGAACAATGAGCTTTTCTTCCAGCAGTTTGCTAAGTCTATGGTCAAGATGGGGAATATCTCCCCATTGACTGGTTCCAAGGGAGAGATAAGGAAGAACTGCAGGAAGATGAATTGAAGTAGCTAAACTGGATGGATTTATTTCAAAACATGAGAAGTCATATTTTCATTATCTAATAATCTAGTTTTGGTGTCGCTTCCATTCAACTGTGTCCCCCCCAAAGTGTGGTTTTGCCTGGGAGGTTCAAATGTGTATTTACTATTGTGTTCAATGAGATTTCAGTATTTACTTACTGTTCCCTGCAGTGAAAATGAGAAGTGGAAAGAGTTTGCAGTTTCAGAACTCATTAAAAGTAAAAAAAGAAAAGGCAGACATTTCCACCTACTGAGCAGTAGTAAAAGACACTTAAATGTCCGCAAAAGTGCAGATGTGATTTTCATCTTGCTCTCAAGACCAAGTTGCCTTGTATAAGTTCCTGAATGTAGTCGTAAACAAACCCTCGGATAATCAGAATAAGGTAAACAGAACACTAAGATATAACTAACTCAAGTAAGCATTGTCGAACTTCTTGAGTCTCCCAAGAATATCAAAGTTCTGATGGAAGAAGTCCGTCCATGACACAAGAAGCAGCAAATGCCTTCATTGTAAGGAAGACATCCGCTATACTCCTCCCCACCTGCTTGGTCGCACAATATGCATCGTTTGCTTCCAGCTTCGCACACTCCACTTGCTTTTCCTCCTCCATCAGTTCTCTTTCAAGCTCCTCCTTCTCTCTTTTCTTCTCCTGCAGCTTTCTTTCCACTTCTTCCATCTCTCTTTGCTGCTCTTGTAGCTTGATTTCCCGCAACTCCTTCCTTCTCTCCATCAACACAAGCTGCCCTTGCTTCTGCTTGAACACCTCATCACATTTATTTTTAGCTTCTTTCATCTGTGGAACTTGTGCCATCAGCTGCTTTGCCTTCAGAATCTGCTCCAGCCTCTGGAACAGCCAACTAACCTCCATGCCCGCTGTTCTCAAGTTATGTAGGGAAACAAGTGCCTTCTCTATAATCATTTCGTCGACCTCCTGAAGCTTCTTCCCGTTGAATGAATAAAAACATTCACAGACGCTTTCCAAGGCACGAGAGCGCTTTTCTGATGATGTCAGGGTGTATCTGGCTGCTATGTCTCCATATTAGCTGATTATAGAGCGGAGAATCGGAGCAGATGATTCGTTTACCAGGTATCCATGCACCGTCACGAATGCAGGACGATCCTCCTCATCCAAGCCATCAACCTCATTAGCACACATGCTTTCCAGTTCAGTGAACCCAAAACTTTGGCATTGAGTAGAAGTAGAATCTGCACGAGTCACCACATTGGCATCCCTTACTGCTGCTACAACTGAGGCAGTTCCAAAGTGCAAACTTCGAGAATGTGAAGTATTTCTGGAGTTTATGTTTGACCCTTCATTTTGGATGGAAGAGGTCTCTTCGAGCAGCAAATTCCTTTTCAGGGAAGTAGTAGGACCTTTCTCAGATAGGTTATTGACTCTTCTATACGCTGCTTTAATTGGCAGCCTTAGAGTTGAAGAAGAGATCCCACCAGGTTTGCCTCTCATGGCACGACTTTGAGATCCAAATAGTTGGGGACCTACCTGGAATACAGAATCATAATTCCATGGATAGCAATTAGACGTGGTGAGATACTTATTCAGCCTACACTATGAGTTACTTGTGTTGTCATGTGGAATGATATACTGATATATGGAGAGATAAAAATTACACATGTTACCACTACAGCACATTCTGCTCTATTTTAAAGCATTACTAGAATCAATACCCGCGGCTACGCCGCGTGAACTAAAGTCACAATAGCATGATCATATTGAGTTTCATAGTTAATTAGTATGAGGCTTATGTTAATAATAATATAACTATAATGATATTAAAAGTTGAGCACAATTAAGGGAAAAAACACATCATTACGATTACAAATAATAATACATTTATGTCCAGTCAACCCTGTCTCCGGTTTCTAATGATTACAGACAGAAACTACCACAAAACATTGAAATGTAGATGTCCCAATCACCAAACAGGAGACATGAGTAATTGTCTGAGTTTAGAACAAAGCAAGAAGCATTGCCGTAAACTCAAAATTTCCTGCATTTCAATAAATTAGTTTTATTCAAGATAGATTCTCATGTAGTTTCAAATGCTCCCATAAAAAAAAATGTAGTTTCAAATGCTCATAACACATCTCAAGCATTTCATAAGCAAGAAATGGATTTTTGTTTTTTTATCTAGGGTAGCAGCAGCAGAAAAATCTACTTGCTTGCTTCAGTTCCCTCGTACCCTAGCTGCTCAAAACCTTGTGCCCGTTGTAAGGACCTGGGACCTCAGTCTCCTCGTGCTTCTTAAACAGGAACATATCAACTTCACCTGCAACAAAACTACACATGAAATCCTTTCCTTCAATAAACAGCCCCACAACCCAATACCATCCACATAAATTCTCTAACCAATAACATCCACATAAATCCATCTATCGGTTTTTCTTTTCCTTTGTGGTCTATCGCCCCTATATAGAAATGAATCCATTCCCTTCCTGCTGTTATTCCTTGTAAAAACCAAAAATCAGACGATGAAAGAGAAGAACTCGAGAAAGACTCGGATTTTACTAAGGAAATCAACTCTTGCAGGCAAAGCTGAATCACAATAGTAGAATCCAATATGGATAAAGTTCTAGTCTTAGCACCTCATTGACAAAATCTTGACCGCTTGAAGAGACAAAACACAGGTATGCTCATATCTTCCTTCCCGGTATACAGCCAAAGAAAGTTCTGGTAATTTTCGGTGGGACATCATACGCTTAACAAAAAAAAAAAAAACATTTTCAACCTGTACAAAGCTCTAGCTATCTCACAATTGCATAAGTAATTTGTCCCTCAAACTGCTATTATCTGAACTTCAGTTCAGTAGCTGCAATGAAAGAAGTCAACCGAAATTCTTTATGAGAATAGGTTAGAGAAACATGGTAAGTTAAATTTTTGGGTATCGAACTTTAGTTGATTTGCTCATGGTACATGATAATATCTTCTGAAGCATAGATCGAGCTTCCTTCCACACAGGCCTTCAGAAGGATCAGAAATTATTAAAGTTAGGCTGCCAACCAGAAGCACAGAACATTTAGTGACCATCCATTCATGAGAGAGTGAGAGAGTGAGAAATTGGTGGTTATCTCAACAACCAAACAGTCAACTCATTAGCTAAACATGCTCCATCTTAAATTGGTCCCAACCAACAGTTCAGTAAGTTGAAAGCAAGCAAGAATAATGCATTAGTAGAGATATCCAGAAAGGAGAAAGAACTTACCATGACAGCAGTGAATTGAACAATCTGAAGCTCGGGAATCGTCTTGAAGGATTCAGAGTATATTGTCACGGCCTTCTCAGGAGTGTCATATTCAGCTGGCACGACCCCAATAGTCCGAACAGCATCACCAAAGCTGACTAAGATAAGTGAGCAAGTGAATTTTCTAAATCAGCTAACAAAAGAGAGAACAACTATACATGGGGTTTGAGCTTCACTTTATGCTGTACATCCAATGCAATACAAAACAGTCAATAGCAAACCTATACAAAATAATCTAAGAGAAGCAGTTTAAGTATAAATATAACATCTTTGTATAAGCACCCACATTTATAAGCCAGAGCGACAAAGGAAGGATGAGCAGTACTGGCTTGCTTAGGCGAGCTGATTATAACTCAGCCAAAGACTTGACTTGACAGCAAACTCCGTCCACATAGTGATTGAGAGGGAGGCTCTGTTGTGATCAGTACAAAACACATTAGATAATGATAAAGCATAGATTAGCGGAAGAAATAGATAACAAAAACAACGCACCACTCATTTTCTTGGGTTGAGATCTCTATGGTACACACTCGCTGCAAATCCAACAAAATCTAGATCAGAACCATGAGGCACCAGTATGATTATTCAAAAGAAACCAGATAAGAGAAATACACCAAAGTGATTGGCAAGCACCCAAAATTAACCACCAGACATTTGCTAAAAAATTTCACTTAAAAGAAGGTGCAGAAGATGTTCACCTGGTGGCTGCAAAATACAGCAACTTGTTTCACAGTAGAAAGAAGGTGATGAAATTAAACAACACTGGTTTTTTTCCGTAGAGTTATCGCATCATCATCTTCATGTCATGCTAGATCAATCTTCCACGTCGTAGATACCAGAACCAAAGCACACAAAGCTAGGTTCAGTAAACTAAACAAACTCCATAACAAAAAAATCAATAATTTCAAACTCAGGTATTCAAACCTTATCAACAGTTGGGTAGTGAATTATCTCATTGGTGAGCCAGATCTTTTCCTCACAGAATTTCTTCCTCACTTCCTTCCTCTTTCCGAAAGTATGGGAGACAATAAAAAACAACTGAGGACTCGCCTTCTGATTGTATACATGGCTTGTTTCAAGTGATTGCCATCATTCCGGAAGACCTCCACTTCTAGTGTTGAACTCCATCTTCTCTGCCGGCTTCCAGTCCGTATACTGCCTTCTCCACCTTGCATTGAATTTGCTTCCCCTCCCCCTTCAGCCGATGCCAACGACATCATTCGGCACTGCAGCAGCCTTCTCAGCCCTCTCCCTAGGGTGGCAACGATTCTCCAATATGGAAACAAAGAGTATGAGGTACTTGGCATCTCAATAAACCTCTTCCAAATGGTTGGCAGGCTTCACAATCCACAAACCTCTGCAAGAGAGAGAAAAAAAAACAGAGCAGAAGCTCATTACATAAGCCAATCTCCTTTTATGCTATATAAAACTTTGCATTCCTTGTACTACTATAACCAACAGATCTCTGTGTACTAACTAATTGAACCTAATGAGTCCAATGCTAATTAAACGCAACAAACCCACAGATAACCCAATTTTAGGCATTCCATTAGTTTGTAAGGCTTCTTTCCCATTCAAAGCATTAAACCAACCGCAAATGAAAGCAGCGAAAAATTGAGAAGGAAATTGATTTTGAAACAAACCTGGTACGTTCTTTCTCAGCCTCGCACAGAATGCCACAACCACCAAGAAGAAAAGATTATTCTCATTTTCATTCAAATAGAAGAAATAAACAGAAATACCCAGTGACTTAATCTTACTTGTAGATAGACAGAGACAATGAGACCCTTCTTCAATCCGCACCCTGCAAGAACATGAATGAAACAATGGACTTCTATGGCAATGAGTAGAGATCACAATTTTAAGGCAAGAAGAGAGAAATATAGAAAGAGAAGATCACTGCCGCCACAGTCGGATTCGCGTTGCCCGGAAGATCGGCGCTCGCGTTTTATCGCCAGGTACCTTGTTTTCCTCACCTTTTCCTTCTCCGTGACCGAGCACACTGAGTACCTTGGGCTTTGGCGAACGCCATCGAAGGGGTTCGTCTTCTACAGCACAAAGCAGCGGCGGAAGGTAGAGGCGGGTGACGAAGGAAACAGGGTAGAGCTGATACCTATCCATCTTGAAGGAAATCGCTGGAAAAGGGAAAGAGAAATGAACAAAAACCTTATAACTAAACACAATTCCAACAAAAGAGATGGCAAGAGCATCAATTTTTCCATCAAATATAGGGGAAGAAGAAAGATGAACTACTCACCGCCATTGGTTGTTGGTAACAGTACCCGCCGTCGGCCGCAAAGATCAGTGAGCAAGAGAGTTTTGAGTCAGATAGGCTGGCGTCAAAGCGGGGAAGAGAGAAGCTCACTCTTCCACTATGAGAGGGAAGCAAGGCGATGATGGTAAGAAACATGGGTGGTGGCGTGTGTGAGCAGGTAGCAATCAATTTTGCAAGAGTTGTACCGGTTGCGTGCAGAGCCCTTGTTCAGCGGTGGCGTGTTGCAGCATTTGATGAAAGGTTGGTCGACTACTGCAATAAGGGCCAAGCGCAGCAGTGGAGTACAGGCTGTAGGGGAGCGGCATGGTCGCCTGCGGGATTTAGGGAAGAACTGGGGAGAGAAAGCAGTTTTTTTTTGACAAAGGTTTCCAACTTTTATTCCTCCAAATAACTGAAAGACGAGAAACTCGGTTACACATCTTAAAGAAGATCAGAAATGAGGTCAAGAATATTAATCCAATCATCAGGGAGAGTAGCTCGAGCTTTTGATCGTGCCACCCAATCAGCTCTGACATTTAGTGCTCGGGGCACTTCTTTGATTTTGATGAGAGGGTTTGTCCGAAGGATTGCGACAATCGACCCAATCCATGCTGCACATCTCCATGGCCAACGGGAGTGATCGTAGTCCAAGACTTTCACCAGCACCTGGCAATCGGCCTGGACCGTACATTCGGATCCATATTCTTGAGCTAATTTTACTCCTTCAAGAAGGGCCTTAGCTTCAGCTTCAATCGGGGTGGAACAAAGAAGAACCTCAGCTCGCCCATCACATACTTGTCCATGGTGGTTAACAACCACAACACCATATGCCGCCGGCTGGGAGTCGTTAATGAACGACCCATCACAGTGAATCACCAAAGAATGATTACTTGGCGGTGGATTTGTATGAGACTGTGATCCCCTGAGCTGAGTGGGCAAGGAAGGCAGGGGAGGAGGGTACCTCGGGCATGAATTCCATTCAGAAAGCTCTTTATAAGTAAGTTGGCACACCTGCGGGGGGCACGGTTTTCTATTCTTGAAAGAGCATTCATTTCTCGCCTTCCAGATATTCCAGCACAGGAACACCAAATGGATCAAGGAGCTATGCTGAATAACATCTTTAAGGGAGCAGAACCAGTCAAGGAACAGGGTTCCTTGAGGGGCGAGGGGGAGAGACGGAAACAGGGCATTCCATGCCGCCTTGGCATGAGGGCATTGGAACAGACAATGATTGATGGATTCGATGGGGTTCTGGCACACCTGACACGTAGAGTTGGGAGCGCATTTTCTCTGGAGCAGTCTCTCTTTCGTAGCAAGCCCATTCCTGCAGCACCTCCAAACAAAGAATTTCAGCTTCGGGGGGAGGTGGAGGCTCCAAATCCACTTCCATTTTTCGGTGTTCCCGCTAGGTTGCGCATTGGTATTGGCTCTATGAATCGAATGGTACGCCGATTTCACTGTGAACTTTCCATCATTGTTGTAGTTCCATGCCCAAAAATCATTGGCTCCTTCTTCCCCAATGGGGATCCTAAGGATAGCATCTAGTTCTGAGCCTGACACATTCCCCTGGATAACATCCGACTTCCACTTCCTATCTCCCGGATCAATCCACTCGCTGACCTTCTGATGATTCTGGGGTCCGCTCCAAAGAGTATTATTTTCCAGAAAGGGGATCCAAGGGTCTTGATCAACCCACGTGTCTTCTCCTGATCCAATCACCCTAACTGCTCCCATCCCAATCACCTTTTTTGCCTTCCAGATACTGGCCCAGATCCACGACGCTTTGCTTCCCTTTTTCGCATTAAGAAAATCACCTCTTGGGAAGTACAGACCTTTAAGGAGACGGCTCCATAAAGAGTCAGGGATCGTAAGAAGGCGCCAGGCCTGCTTTGCGAGCAGGGCTAGGTTAAAATCGTTGAAGCTCCTGAAGCCTAAACCCCCCTCTGCCTTCGGTAGACACAGAATCTCCTTTTTGCACCAATGTAGACTACTCTTCTGCATAGATCCTGACCAAAAGAAGTTACTGAGAAGAGAGTCCATTCTCTTTGTGAGAGCCTTCGGGAGATGGAACAGGCACATGATGTAAGAAGGAATAGCTTGTATGACCGCTTTCAGAAGGACTTCCTTACCACCATGAGAGAGAAGGAGGCTTTTCCACGCCTCCCCCATTTTTTCCATCCTTTGAATGAGAAAATTAAAGGTTTCTTTCTTCGAATTTCCCCACTCAGTCGGGACTCCAAGGTACTTTGAGTGGTAGTTCGATGGAGCAAAGCCAATGCTTGCGATGATATGATCCTTGACGTCCCCAGGGACATTTGCACTGAAGAAAACCGAAGATTTGTTGATATTAACCTCTTGCCCTGTTATGGCTCCATATTCCCCAATAAGATCTATAATTTTCTGTGCTTCCAGGTACTCGGCCTTTCCGAATATGACTGTGTCATCAGCAAACAGGCAATGAGTGAGCACAGGGCATCTGGCATTCAATTTAATCCCCTTCAGGCTCTCATTAGCCACCGCCTTATCAATCAAGAAAGTGAGGGCATTTGACATGAGAATGAAGAGGAAAGGTGAGAGAGGGTCTCCCTGTCTTATGCCTCTGGAAGGCTTGAAAGAATCAGTTGCTTCTCCATTGAAGAGAATAGAGAAACTGACTGTTCTAATGCAAGCACTGACCCACCCACACCAACGACTGTCAAACCCATACTTCTTGAGAAGCTCCTCCAGACACTCCCAGTCAACCATATCATATGCCTTCTTCATGTCCAACTTCAGCATCATATATCTTCTCCTACCCAACTTATGGTTCTTGAAATGGTGTAGGGCTTCATGGACAATAATGATATTATCTTGAATAAGCCTACCCCCCGTGAATGCTGTTTGCAGTTCAGAAACCAGATCGGGGGTCCACCTCTTAAGTCGTGTTGCCATAACTTTTGATATGATCTTATATCTAAAATTACAACAGCTAATAGGCCGGAATTGGCTTATCAATTCTAGGTTGTCGACCTTGGGGATCATAGTGATGTGGGTTTCATTCCATCCCGCTGGCATACTGGCTGTTTCAAAGAAACCTCTAACTTCTCGACACAAAGTGTCTCCTAAAATATCCCAGTATCTCCTGTAAAATCTTCCAGAGAAACCATCCGGGCCAGGAGCCTTACGAGCTCCCAAGGAGAAAACAGCTTTCCTAATTTCCCCATCCGTCACCATAGCACAGAGATCCTCATTCATCTCCGGAGTCACTTTCTCCGGGAATCCATCTAAGAGATGGTTAAAGGGCAGATAGTCCCTAGCCTTAAAAAGGTCCTTATAAAAATCTTCGGCTAGTCTTTTGAGGCAACTTTCATCCTCAATCCAATTTCCTTCTCCATCTTGGAGTTTCAGAATTTTGTTTCTATGCTTCCTATGAATAGTGCTTGAGTGAAAGAAAGAAGTATTCTGATCACCTTTTTTTAGCCAGTTAACTCTCGAGCATTGGCTCCAGAAAGCTTCTTCATCCCTCCAAAGCTTTGTTAATTCGGTTATGAGTCCCTTCTCCTCTTCCACATTCTCCACCGATCTTGGCGGTTGTTGGAGAAATTCGAGCCTAGACAAAATTTCCTTCTCCCTTCGAATACTGTTCATATGGAAGTCTTTCGCCCATTCCTTTAATTCTCTTTCACATTTGTTCAGCTGGTCAGTTGACTGGCCTCCCGGGTCCCAAGCTCGGGCCACAATTTCCTTGCATTCTTCTTTCTCCAGCCATCTTTCATCGATCCTGAAGGGTGTCTTCTTCCTCCTGTTTCCTCGATAATGAAGATCAGGGAGAGAAAGCAGTTGGATGGGGAAGGTTTCTCGCGAAGAGTTTGATAGGCGCTAGAAGACAAAAAGTGATACAGTAACGGGCAAAAAGTGTACCCAGTTTTTATCTATAGAAGAATTAGAAAAGAAGCCAGGCCCTGGTCATTAAAAGTCAGGCACACAGAAGGGTTTTCCCCAAGAAACAGCACAAGCATCATTAGAAAAGAAATCATGCCTTAGTAACATAACAAATGCTTTCTCACCAATCAACTCACTTAACAATAAATATGGAAGATAGAAGTGGAAAGCATATCAATGAACCTTAAATACAATTGAGCAAAAAGAGACTATTACTATTTCTAAAGGGATATAGTTGGTGATCTCAAGTAAATCGGATGACCTTCTATGCTATCCGAACAAAAGTTGGAAAGCAACAACTACCCAACAAGAAATTTCACATTTATAGAGGGTAAGATGTCAGGATTCGTTCATTACCGATGCAATAATGTCATCGATTATAGCCTGATTCCTTTTACCAGGAGACAAATTGCTGGAGCTGGAGCCTTCTTCATCAGCTGGTTCACTAGCAGCAGCATCTTGGTGTGTAACTATGCTAGGTTTCTCCAACATTTTAGAAGAATGCAAACCCAGGGTGCAAGGAGTGAGCACGGGCTTTGTTGAGGATCTGGGAAATAGCTCTGGAAAACCCCAAGGGCTCTTAGCGTGACCCTGCAGAAAGAAAACGCAGCAGTTAAACCCCCATTCCAACACCAAAAGGCAGAAACTTCAACGGGTCCACGATTTCAATTCTTGGAAGAGAGCAAGCAAAACTGAAAAAAATCCCACTTGGAAGCTGTCCCCCGATTTCAATTCTCAGATGGCTTATCAACAAATGGCCCCAAGTTACTACGCGAAAACAGAAAACCCTGCTCCGTCAAAAGTTCCCTCATTTTCCTTTTCTCAGCAACCAAAACATCCAAACAAGAAAACCCTCTTAAGAAACAAAGAGCGGGTAGGGTTAGGGCCTAGGGGCTTCAAACCCATTTTCCATATCTTCACTTTCAGGCGCCAAAAAGAAAAGATCTTCCATTTTGACACAAAACAAGGGAGAAGAGGGAAATTAATAAGCTACCAGAACCTGAATTTTGGGTTTCTTCGTAAAGGAAGCAGGGTTAGAGCGCAGTTGAGGAGAGCCAGGACTTGAAGTGGGTTGCAGTTGCAGCCTCGCCGATCTCCTGAGAGATCCTCCCAATTCATCACTCTGCTCTTTTGGGCTCTCTTGAGTTCTCTTGCTCGTTCCCCTCGCTGCCTTTTTACTCATTTTCTTGGTCTTTTCCTACTCGTTGTTGCTGCGAGGCGATCGGTTGATCAGTTCTGCAGCACCTCTCTGTTTCCTTGCACGGCTTAAAGAGACCGTTGGCTTGTGATCAATGGTGCAGTGAAGTCTGAAGAGAGTGAAGCAGCTGGTGAAAAGACCAAAAAGCTTGCTTGCTTTCTCTAGGGGCTTTAGCTTAGTAAAAGCTGCGACAGGTTGCAGCTAGCAGGAATAGCAGAATCCAGGACAGTCCACGCGTCGATTACTGAACAGGTCTATATTGTCTGAACTGAACACCAAACGGAAACTTGCTATTTCAGGAATGGGAATGAAGGAAAGTAGAAGTCGATTAAACGGAAATTTCTAGTTTTGTGCATTCACTTCTCTCTGGCTTGCTGCTTGTGTAACTCCGTCTTCAACCTTTTTTTTATATGTTTTCCCACTTTTTTATATCAATTTGTCTTCAGCTTTTTCAAATATGTACTGTAAAAACTTTTTCCCCGCTAAGCGCTGGACATGATGTGTGACACGTACCTAATTACCCTTACCCTATTACTAGCTTTGACCCCAGCCAGTTGGTCGGAAAATGATTTTTTTAAAAGATAATTTAGTCTATACCTCACAATAATGTTTTAATACACATGAAATTATTGTGTATGGCTATTATGATAGTACAAAATTAAACAATAATATAGTTTAGGAACTCAGTAGAATGAGAAACTTGTCCCGTGAACTTTGGTTGTACATGAGTACTTCATAGAGGTATTTTTTTGAATAAATACTTCATAGAGGTAGAATCGAATGATATTGATATAGTTTAGTAATTGTCCAATAGGAGCGTGACTCACTTGACCATGTTTTTGAATTTTTTTTTTCGTTGAATCAGTTCCCCTCTTTATTAATATGAAAAGAAAAACCAATACAACGAGGCAAAGCAGTAACGCTTTGAGTAATGTCAAAAACCCTGCTCACTCCTACTCAACCTGTAACTGCTCACTCAGCTACTCAAAAACAAGCAACAAGCAAAGAAAAATCAAAGATATCCCAACCTCTCAAGATCCCCCTGCAACATGGCATTCCCAGCCACCAGGTATCGCAGATCCGCTTGCAGCTGGGTAGCAACCTTTTCTGGGTCTGGCAAAGCACCACCATGTACAACTCTGCAACGCTCACGCCAAATGCACGTCAACACCATACACCACACAACCCCATGCCATCGCAATTTCCCTGAGGGCTGAACCAAAGAGCAGACAACAGCCATCATTGCGTCCCAGCCTCCTGCTTCAAACAATCGACAGTGCAAATTCAAGACAAGCAGATGAGCAAAAGAGCAATGCATAAACAGGTGCTCTCTCGTTTCCATCGGGGAAGTGCACAATGGGCAAGAGGCAATAGTTATCTTCCTCCAGCTCAGAAGTTTTTCCCTCGCCACTATTGCATTTCTTATAATAAGCCAAGCAATGAAGCTATAGCGAGGAGGACAGAACCTATTCCAGACGAGCTTAAACCACGGTACCTCTGGCTGCTTGGCACGCAAGGAATCCCAGACTAATCGAACAGAGTACACCTTCATTAGTTTCATTCCCCAGTAAACCTCACCATTTCTCTGCTGTATCCATGGCCTGATCTGATCCCTGATTTTGAGCAGCCTCCTCCATGTCCAGGAGCTGCTGTACTGCGGCTTCATCGACCATAAATCTAACTGCTTGCATTTATACTCGTACATCCATGCAACCCAAAGAGCCCCTGACTTTATGAGAAGAGCCACAACATCCTAGCAGAGCTAGCTATGTTCCAGGCCTGGAGATCCTTTATCCCCAACCCCCATTCTTTCTTTGGATAGGCTAGCTTTTCCCAGGCTACTTTGGCTCTACCCTCTTCACTACCATGCCATAAAAACTGAGAACAGACTTTCTGTACTTGTTTCAAAACCTTTTTAGGAAGAACAAATAACTGCATCCAAAACTGTACTATCCCCATCAGAACAGAATTCAATAGCTGCAATCTCCCTGCAAAAGAGAGCTTTTTAACACGCCAGTATTTAATCCTTTTTGTAATTTTTTCAACCAACATGGCCACTTCAGTTGAGGATAGCTTCCCAGTGATCAAAGGCAGCCCAAGGTACCTAACAGGAAGCTTACCCTCTTGGAAGCCTGAAAGCTGAAGAGCAACAGACTTATACTGAACGGAGTCACCTCCAAAGTAAACCTCGCACTTGGAAGGATTACATTGAAGTCCAGAGATCTCATAAAATTGTTGGAGCACATGCTTAACTTGAAGAATGGCCTGAGCTGAACCCTCTGTAAATACAATAATGTCATCTGCAAAGCACATATGGTTCAACTGCACTCTCTTACACTGTGGATGGTAGGGGACTCTATTCTCTTGACTTGCTTTCATCAACATGGTAGAGAGCCCCTCCATAGCTATTGTAAATAGATATGGCGATAAGGGGTCTCCCTGCCTAACCCCCTTCCTAGCTCGAAAATAGCCACACAACCCCCCATTTATGTTAATACTATAGTGTGCAGTTTGAATGCAACACTTAATCCACTTCAAGAACTGCTCAGGAAACCCCATAACACTCATCATAAGGAAAAGATAGTTCCAATTTACAGAATCGAATGCTTTATATTGTGCTAGCAATATATTGTCCATTATACTTCTATGCTAGCAATATATTGTCCATTATACTTCTATCCTTAATGAAAGCTGACTGAGATGGACTGATAATAGTTGGTAAAACTTCCTTAAGTCTATTGGATAGAATTTTAGCCACAATTTTGTCCATTATACTTCTACCCTTAATATATTTTCTGCCTATGATATCCACTGACAAGCTCCTGTGCTAGCAATATATTGTCCATTATACTTCTATCCTTAATGAAAGCTGACTGAGAGGGACTGATAATAGTTGGTAAAACTTCCTTAAGTCTATTGGATAGAATTTTAGCCACAATTTTGTATAAGAGATTCACACAAGATATAGGTCTAAAATTCTTAAGGGTATCAGCAGTTGGGATCTTAGGAATGAGAGAAACAGCTGTGGAATTCACTCCACTTGGAAGCTTACCTTGATGGAAGAAGTCAAGAATCCCCCTTGTGACATCCTCTCCAATAATGTGCCATGTTTTCTTATAAAAGCCAGCAGAAAATCCATCTGGCCCGGGGGCCTTCTAAGGATTAATACCAAAAACAACTCGCCTGATTTCATCAGCAGTGACAGGTTGCACAAGAAGATCCCCTCAGTGGAGATAGTGTGTCTTACCATACCTTCAATATCCTCTCTGCTAGGATTGATATCAGGATTAGCTTCACCCACTAGTTTCTTATAATAACCTATAGCCTCCTCCATTATCTGATCAGACTGAACCAACTCTTCCCCGGTTGCAGAAATTAGCTTTCGAATTGCTCTTTTTGAAGTTCTGATTTTTACTGCCTGGTGAAAGAAACCAGAGCTTTTATCACCAAGATGCATCCAAGAGACCCTCGACTTCTGCCAATAGAAGCTCTCATAAGCCACCTGAAGCTTTGTACACTCAGCTTGCACCTTATTGACTTCTGCAAAATGAACAGAGGAAGGATCTGAAAATGCTAACAGTTGTGCCTTCCTAAGCAAATCTTCTGATGCTTTTACCCGACCTTGCAAATCACCATATACCTCTTTATTGAACTGCTTCAGAACCTTCTTTACTTCTTGCAACTTCCTTTGAACAACCTGCAGTGGGGACCCTGTAAACTCTTTCCTCCAAGCTTTCTCTACAGTTTCCAGGAAAAGAGGGTGCTCAGCCCCGAATTCAAAATATTTGAATGGTTTGGGGAGAGTTTTGATTGGCACAGCTGTGCAAGCTTGAATACCACAATGATCAGAGAAGCCTGAAGGGAAGGCCTCCATGGCACAATCAGGAAATTGTTCTATCCACTCTAAATTCACCAAAGCTCTATCTAATCGACGGGCAATAGGGTTATTTGTTGTCTGTTTGTCCATGTGAACTGGGGGCCCGTTGTTCTGTAATCCAAGAGCTCCATATCTCCAATCCAGTCATTAAAAGTTGTCATACTAGAAGTGACAGACAATTGATTGCTAGTCTCAATTGGTATCCTGACTGTGTTGAAATCCCCTCCCACTATCCAGGGATAACCTGCTACCCGTAGTTGCCTGAGTTCATCATAGGTTCTGATCCTGTCCTCCTCGACATTAGCTGCATACACAGCTGTAAAAAAGAAAGATTCATTGCTAATTCCTTTCACTATAGCATGCATAAAGTTTTTTCCCTGTTTTAATATCCTAACATCCACTAGCGGATCCCAGAAGAGCCAGACCCTGCCCAACAGAGAATCTACACAATTCAAACACTTCTTCCACCCTGCAAACACTTCAGCCACTGCTTCCTCTGCTTTATTTGCTTTTATTCTAGTTTCTAGCACTGCAACTATATCTACTTTATTACGTTGCAAGACTCTTAACAAGTCCCGCTGTTTAGAGGGCTTATTAAACCCTCTAACATTCCAAAAGAGAACAATCATTTAGAAGACGAGGGTTTTACCCCTCCTCCTCCCTTCTTACCTTCCTTCCTCTTTGGCACTGCTTGTAGCTTAACTGGCTCTCTCTCTTCCAACTTACTAAGGACACTGAATGATGAAGCGGAGACCTGAAATGTATTATGAGGGCTTGTTTTTGGTGACCAAACACGAGGCTTGGCACCATGGATCACCTGGTGGAATTCAGCTTCAGAGGGCAGCTTTGGGGAAGCCATCTGCTGAACCTCAGAATCAGAAGGCAGCGTTGGAGATGCTACCTCTTGAAATGAGCTGTTCAGGTTTGCTGGGATGATTCTGTCCACTGATGCCCCCACCATAGCAGTCAACTGAGGATCATCATCAAATATCACAATCTCCTTGCCCTTAACAGAGCTCTTAGTGCTGGACTCCACCTGAGGAAGACTGATGTTCAAAGATTTCGGCACTGGATCTTCAGAAACAACCACCCTCTCAGTTTGATGCTT